GCCTGTTTTCTGATTGTTCAACACAGTCTGCCTCTCAGAGCAGCTGTTGGGCACTGTGCCGCCTCCAAGCCTGGGAAAGGCCCTGGGGTCAAGGGGCAGACATTATCCTCCCACTCTTGGCAAGTGAGAAGGTCCTGATGGCAGAGCCCAAATCAGTCTGATGAGGAAAGACAGGGCCTGCCCTGGGGGAGCCTCAGATGTGGTATGTTAGAAGCAGGTATATTATTAAATTTTCAGGAATTTTTTTGAGCCACTTGTTAAAGACAACTATTATTAAAAGTTAAGGCCGGGCGCGGTGGCTCAAGCCTGTAATCCCAGCACTTTGGGAGGCCGAGACGGGCGGATCACTAGGTCAGGAGATCGAGACCATCCTGGCTAACACGGTGAAACCCCGTCTCTACTAAAAAATACAAAAAACTAGCCGGGCGAGGTGGCGGGCGCCTGTAGTCCCAGCTACTCAGGAGGCTGAGACAGGAGAATGGCCCGAACCCGGGAGGCGGAGCTTGCAGTGAGCTGAGATCCGGCCACTGCACTCCAGCCTGGGCGGCAGAGCGAGACTCCGTCTCAAAAAAAAAAAAAAAAAAAAGTTAAGGCCAGGCTCAGTGACTCACACCCTCACACCTATAATCCCAGCACTTTGGGAGGCTGAGGCGGGTATATCATTTGAGGTCAAGAGTTCGAGACCAGCCTGGACAACATGGTGAAACCTGTCTCTACTAAAAAATACCAAAAAAAAATTTTTTTTTAATTACGTAAGTTTACAATTAAACATTAAAACAAAGGTAACAACAATAAAAAGTAACAAACACTCAAAACTAGCCGGGTGCGGTGGCTCACACCTGTAATTCCAGCACTTTGGGAGATGGAGGCAGGCGGATCACCTGAGATCAGGAGGTTGAGACGAGCCTGGCCAACATGGTGAAACCTTGTCTCTACTAAAAATACAAAAATTAGCCAGATATGGTGGTGGGTGCCTATAATCCCAGCTACTAGGGAAGCTGAGGCAGGAGAATCACTTGAACCCGGGAGGTGGAGGTTGCAGTGAGCTGAGATCGCGCCACTGCACTCCAGCCTTGGCAACAGAGTGAGGCTCCATTTCAAAAAAAAAAAAAAAAAGACTTGAAAATTGAAATTGATCTATGGGCTACAGAATGGATGTTGTGTTAGCAGGCATGAAAACAACATGTGTCTCCTTGCACACCTCCATCAGAGCTCTGATGGAGACCAAGTGCATTGTCAATGAGCAGCAATATTTTGAAAGGAATCTTTTTTTCTGAGCAGTGGGTCTTAACAGTGGGTTTAAAATATTCAGAAAGCCAGCCAGGCATGGTGGCTCACGCCTGTAATCCTAGGACTTTGGGAGGCCGAGGTGGGTGAATCACTTGAGGTCAGGAGTTCGAGACCAGGCTGGCCAACATGGGTGAAACTCTGTCTCTACTAAAAATACAAAAATTAGCCAGGTGTGGTGGTGTGCACCTGTAATCCCAGCTACTTGGGAGGCTGAGGCAGAAGAATAGCTTGAACCTGGGAGGTGGAGGTTGCAGTGAGCCAAGATCACTCCAGTGCACTCCAGCCTGGGCAACTGAGTGAGACTGTCTCAAAAAAAAAAAAAAAAAGGGCCGGGCGCGGTGGCTCAAGCCTGTAATCCCAGCACTTTGGGAGGCTGAGACGGGCGGATCACGAGGTCAGGAGATCGAGACCATCCAGGCTAACACGGTGAAACCCCGTCTCTACTAAAAAAAATACAAAAAACTAGCCGGGCGAGGTGGCGGGCGCCTGTAGTCCCAGCTACTCGGGAGGCTGAGGCAGGAGAATGGTGTAAACCCGGGAGGCGGAGCTTGCAGTGAGCTGAGATCCGGCCACTGCACTCCAGCCTGGGCGACAGAGCGAGACTCCGTCTCAAAAAAAAAAAAAAAAAAAGAAAAATCGGTAAACCATGCTGTAAGTCGATGTGCTGTCATTCAGGCTTTATTGTTATTTATAGAGCTCAGGCAGAGTAGATTTCGCATAATTGTTTTTTTTTTTTTTTTTTTTTTTTTTGAGATGGAGTCTCTCTCTGTCACCCAGGTTGGAGTGCAGTGGCGTGATTTCAGCTCACTGCAAGTTCTGCCTCTGGGGTTCACGCCATTCTCCTGCTTCAGCCTCCCAAGTAACTGGAACTACAGGCACCTGCCACCACGCCCAGCTAATTTTTTGTATTTTAGTAGAGATGGGGTTTCACCATGTTAGCCAGGATGGTCTCAATCTCCTGACCTCGTGATCCACCTGCCTCTGCCTCCCAAAGTGCTGGGATTACGGGCGTGAGCCACCACACCTGCCCCCATTTCGCATAATTCTTAAGGACCCTAGGGTTCTTGGAATGGTAAATGAACATTGGCTTCAACTTAAAGCCACCAGCTGCATTAGCCCCTAATAAGAGAGTACACCTGTCGTTTGAAGCTTTGAAGCCAGAAATTGACTTCTTGATAGCCATGAAAATCCGAGATGGCAGCTTCTTCCAAGAGAAGGCTGTTTCTTTCTTTTCTTTCTTTCTTTTTTCTTTTTTTTTGAGATGGAGTCTTGCCCTGTTGCCCAGGCTGGAGTACAGTGGCACCATCTCGGCTCGCCACAACCCCTGCCTCCTAGGTTCAAGCGATTCTCCTGCCTCAGCCTCTCAAGTAGCTGGGATTACAGGCACATGCCACCATGCCTGGCTAATTTTTGTATTATTAGTAGAGACAGGGTCTCGCCATGTTGACCAGGCTGGTCTCGAACTCCTGACCTCAAGTGATCCTCTCACCTCTGCCTCCCAAAGTGCTCAGATTAGAGGTGTGAGCCACTGGCCCTGGCCAGAAGGCTGTTTTATCTACATTGAAAATCGTGTTTAGTGTAGCCCCCTTCATCCATAATCTTATCTAAATCTTCTGGAAAACTTGCTGCAGCTTTTCCATCAGCACTTGCTACTTCACCTTGCATGTTTATGTTTTGGAGATAGCTGCTTTCCTTAAACCTCATGAACCAGCCTCTGCTGGTTTCAAACCTTTCTTCTCCAGCTTCCTCTCTTCTCTCAGCCTTCACAGAATTGAAGACAGTTAGGGCTTTGCTCTGGATTAGACTTTGGCTTAAAGGAATGTTGTGGCTGGTTTGATCTTCCACGTAAACCAGTAAAACTTTCACCATATCGGTGATAAGGCTGTTTCACTTTCTTATCATTTGTGTGTTTACTGGAATAACCCTTCTAATTTCCTTCAAGAACTTTTCCTTTGCATTCACAAATTGGCTAACTGTTTGGTGCTGGCAGCCTAGTTTTGGACCTGTCTCAGCTTTCAACATGCTTTCCACACTAAGCTTAATCATTTCTAGCCCTTTTTTTTTTTTTTTTTTTTTAACAGAGTTAACACTCTGTCCCCCAGGCTGGAGTGAAGTGAAGTGGCATGATCTCAGCTCACTGCAACCGCCACCCCCCCCACTCCCCGCCCCCCGGTTCAAGTGATTTTCCTGCCGCAGCCTCCCAAGTAGCTGGGATTATAGGCGCCCACTACCACCCCTGCTAATTTTTATATTTTTAGTAGAGACGGGTTTTGCCATGTTGGCCAGGCTGGTCTCCTGACCTCAAGTGATCCACCTGCCTCAGCCTCCCAAAGTGCTAGGATTACAGGCGTGAGCCACCGCGCTTGGCTCATTTCTAGCTTTTGACTTAAAGTGAGAGATGTATGACTCTTCCTTTCCCTTGAACACTTAGAGGCCATTGTGGGATTATTAATTGATCTAATTTTAATATTGCTGTGTCCCAGAGAATAGAGAGGCCCAAGAAGAGGGAGATGGGGGAATGGCCAGTAAGTGGAGCAGTCAGAACACACACAACATTTATCGATTAAGTTCACTATTTTATGTGGGTGAGGTTCACAGTGCCCCAAAATAATTGCAATAGTAACATCAAAGATCACTGATCACAGATCACCATAACAGATAGTTTGAAATATTGCAAGAATTACCAAAATGTAGGCCAGGCATGGTGGCTCATGTCTGTAATCCCAGCACTTTGGGAGGCCATGGCGGGTGGATCACCTGAGGTCAGGAGTTTGAGACCAGCCTGGCCAACATGGCGAAATCCCGTCTCTACTAAAAATACAAAAATTAGCCAGATGTAGTGGTGGGCACCTGTAGTCCCAGCTACTTGGGAGGCTGAGGCAAGAGAATTGCTTGAGCCTGGGAGGAGGAGGTTGTAGTAAGCCAAGATGGTGCCACTGCACCCTAGCCTGGGTGACAGAGCAAGACTCCGTCTCAGAAAAAAAAAAGAAGAAGAAGAATTACCAAAATGTGACACAGAGACACAAAGTAAGCATATCCTGTTGAAAAAATGGTGCTAACAGACTTGCTTGACACAGGGTTGCCACAAACCTTCCTTCTATAAAAAAAGCAGTATTTGCAGCGCACAAAGCCCAGTAAACTGAGGAGTGCCATGGTGTGATCTTGGCTCACTGCAACTTCCGCCTCCCGGGTTTAAGCGATCCTCCTGCCTCAGCCTCCCGAGTAGCTGGGACTACATGCGTGCACCATCACACTCAGCTAATTTTTTAATATTTTTAGTAGAAACGGGGTTTCACCACATTGGCCAGGATGGTCTTGATCTCTTTGACTTCATGATCCATCTGCCTTAGCCTCCCAAAGTGCTGGAATTACAGGCATAAGCCACCATGAGCAGCCTCTTTTTTTTTTTTTTTTTTTTTTAAGATGGAGTCTTGCTATGTTGCCCAGGCTGGAGTGCAGTGGCATGATCTCGGCTCACTGCAACCTCCGCCTCCCTGGTTCAAGCAGTTCTCCTGCCTCAGCCTCCCGAGTAGCTGGGATTACAGGCCCCCGCCACCACGCCCCGCTATTTTTTGTGTTTTAGTAGAGGTAGGGTTTCAGCATCTTGGCCAGGCTGGTCTCCAACTCCTGACGTCAAATGATCCACCCACCTGGGCCTTCCAAAGTGCTGGGATTATAGGCATGAGCCACTGCACCCGGCGTATTAGCTATGCTCTTGAGGTGATTTACATTTGTTGTGTCTGTGGGGTAGAAATACTGTACAGTGGTGTTGACAGCTCTTCCTGATTTTGCTTTCAGTGACCTCAGGTTGGTAGCTTGAAATTAGTCATGGCAGGAGTATTCACACCACAGAAATGGGCTATTGCTACTAATCAGAGCTGACTGTTACTAATCCCAACCCCCCCAGAGCCAGTGGTGAAACACTGACCAGCACTCCATGGAGATAAGATCATGCCCCAGGGAGCCTGAGCAGGGAGATAAGGCCCTGCCCTGGAAGTCATCTGAGCTGTGCCCTGGCCCTAGCAAACAGCAGCCCTCTGACTGACCCACTGGCCCACCCACAGATGAGGAGCTCTATGCTGGTGTGTACATCGATTTTATGGGCACTGACGCAGCCATCTTCCGCACACTTGGAAAGCAGACGGCCATGCGCACGGATCAGTACAACTCCCGGTGGCTGAACGGTAAGCGCAGCTCCAGGAGCCCTTCCATGGCCATGTGTCTGGGATGCGGCAAGGAGGTTGCAAAGAAGCACATGTCGGGGAATTAGGGACATATTTAGCCTATGACTACCTGGGGCAGGGGTAGTTTCTTATCTGGAGAGGAGTTGGGGGTGTTCTTGTACCTGGCTGGGGATGTTGGAGAACATCAGGGGCATCATCAGAGTAGGGGCTCACCTAGCTGACCCCTGCTATCTGCAGACCCATCGTTCATCCATGCTGAGCTCATTCCTGACAGTGCGGAGCGCAATGATGATAAGCTCTACTTCTTCTTCCGTGAGCGGTCGGCAGAGGCGCCACAGAGCCCCGCTGTGTATGCCCGCATTGGGCGCATTTGCCTGGTATGCATTGGCAGAGCCACCAGGCTGCCTCCTCCACCAATTCTGCCTTCATCAGCCCTGCTTCAGCCAGGGTGTGGGGTCAAGAGCTGATCTGACCTGGCCTCTTGCCCCACCCCTCAGAATGATGACGGTGGTCACTGTTGCCTGGTCAACAAGTGGAGCACATTCCTGAAGGCGCGGCTCGTCTGCTCCGTCCCGGGCGAGGATGGCATTGAGACTCACTTTGATGAGCTCCGTGAGTGCCCAGCAGGCAGGCAGGGTGCTCTGGCTACAGCAAGAGGGATAGAGGCTGGATGGGTGGTCAGGGTGCCTTTGGTGGGCCCCCTCCCCTGTGCAGGAGTGGGTGAGGCCCAGGGGCTCCCACCCAAGGCACCCTCCAATACCTTCTCCCTCTGTTCCCAGAGGACGTGTTTGTCCAGCAGACCCAGGACGTGAGGAACCCTGTCATTTACGCTGTCTTTACCTCCTCTGGGTGAGGCTGGGTTCGGGGCCAGCAGTGGCAGGAAGTGGCCCCGTTGGGGGATTATAACTCGTGTAGGACCCTGGCACGGTGGTGAGCCGTGGGGAGGGGGCATTTGGGGAGGGACTCGTCCCGCTCAGAGCGCCTCCTGTGCCCACAGCTCCGTGTTCCGAGGCTCTGCTGTGTGTGTCTACTCCATGGCTGATATTCGCATGGTCTTCAACGGGCCCTTTGCCCACAAAGAGGGGCCCAACTACCAGTGGATGCCCTTCTCAGGGAAGATGCCCTACCCACGGCCGGGCACGGTAAGAACCCCACTCATCTTGCCTCTCCCCTTCGTCTTCTTCTAAGAGGCCTCTGGGTCAGGCCCTCTGCAACATGGACCCCACCATCATGGCCCTCCCAGCCAGCAGAGGCAGTGAGCTGCAGTGCACACAGACGGGCCTTCACACACAGTTCAGGCTGTGGAGGAGCTCAGCCAGGATTCTGGGACAAAGATGGTGTGCTGGGTGCTCCTCAGAGGGTCCTCTGTGGAACTGTCTGGGAGCCAAAGGTTGGAGGGAAGCGTCTTCCCGGCGGATACTGGAGGCAGGCTGGAGGTTGGCTCAGCTGAGGAACAGGAGGCAAAGAACTGGGGAGGGGCAGGGCTAGGCCTCAGGCAGGGTCTCAGAGGTCACAGAGGTGTGTCACTTTATCTTGATGTGACACTGGGCTGATGCAGGAGTCTAAACAGGAGAGCAGCGGATCTGATCAATGCACTCTGACTCCATGTGGTCAGGACTGGGCTGGGGAAGCTGGTCTCAGCGGGGGACAGGGGAGGCTTCCTTCCAGAGGTAACCTGGAGTCAGAAGGATGGGCCAGATGTAAGCTGACCATGGTGGGGGCAGGCTGAGCCCAGGCTCAGGTGACAGCTTCAGGAAGGAGGAGAGTGAGCCTGGTGTGTGACAAGGACGTCAGGGCCTGTAGTCCAGCTGTGCAGGAGGGAGACGAGTGAGACCCTAGGAACAGCCAGAGAGAAAGGAGATGACAGGGTGGGGAGGGGACGTGGAAGGGAGTGGTCTGCTTGGCCAAATGCTGCCACGAGGTCATGGCACATGAGGCCAGGGAGGTGGCTGTGGCATTTGACCACGTGAGACTTTGGCCGGAGCAGGACCTGTAGAGGTCAGGTGCAGGGCAGAAACCTGGAGAGGGGCTTTGGGGAGAGGAGCAGGTTGAGGTGGTGGGGACAGTGCAGCGGCCTCTTCTGAAGCTAATGGCTCCAGCCTGCACTGCCCAGGCAGCCTGGGACTGACACTTACCACCTGTCCACAGTGCCCTGGTGGAACCTTCACACCATCTATGAAGTCCACCAAGGACTATCCTGATGAGGTGATCAACTTCATGCGCAGCCACCCGCTCATGTACCAGGCCGTGTACCCTCTGCAGCGGCGGCCCCTGGTGGTCCGCACAGGTGCTCCCTACCGCCTCACCACTGTTGCTGTGGACCAGGTGGATGCAGCCGACGGGCGCTATGAGGTGCTTTTCCTGGGCACAGGTACCCACTGCTGCTCCTGGCCTCTCCCACGCTGGGCCCACCGGGTGCGGGGTGCAGATCCTTGGGGCTGGGGCTTGCCCTGCTAGGGCTTGCTGCAAGCTCATCAGAGTCACCTCTTCATCTTCATCCTTTGGTGCCTTCTCCCTATTGCTGGGATAACAGAGGCTAGGGGTGAGAAAACCCCATTCCCATTTCCATCCACAGGGGCCCAGGAGAACAGGGACACTAGGCATCTGGAGACCTATGTATGGCAGGAAAGGGGTGGAGACAGATGTTAGACACCTCCAGGATACACAGGCCATACACATGCTCATGTGTGCACACACATGACACAGTGCACCCCCTACAGTTCCAGCAGCCCAAACACAGGAGAATGCATGTCCCAGTGTCCTGTTCTCAGTAGGGCCCAAAATCAGTGTCTGGATTGGTGGGGGCAGACCCTGGCCATGACCCCCTATGTCCTGGGCCAGTCCCTTTGACCTGGGGAAACTCTTCCACCTTGGCACAGAGCTCCAGCTCCAATGCCCTAGGGGGGTTTGGGCCCTGGTGGGGGAAGGGGCTGAGGCTGGTACCCCTTCCCCAGCATCCCCAGCCCCACTGAGGCCCTGCCCGGCCCGTTCCAGACCGCGGGACAGTGCAGAAGGTCATTGTGCTGCCCAAGGATGACCAGGAGATGGAAGAGCTCATGCTAGAGGAGGTGGAGGTCTTCAAGGTGGGTGTGACACCACCCAGTCCTGACCTCTTCACCTTGACCCTCCCCCGAGTCCCAGCCTCTGACCCAAGACCTCTAGGTCAGGGCAGGGAGGGGGTCCCTGGGGTCCCAAGCTGATCTTTATCTTTTTCTAGGATCCAGCACCTGTCAAGACCATGACCATCTCTTCCAAGCGGGTAAGTCTTTGGCCAGGTGGGCCAGGGATGGGGACAGGGCCTGCATCCCCTCAGGGTCATGCCCTTGGCACAGGAATGGGTAAATTGAGACATGGAACAGGGAAGAGGAGCCCGGCCTAGGTGGCTATTGGTGAGGCTGGCTGTGCGACAGGAACTGACAAGGCCCTACCCTTTGCCCTAGCAACAACTCTACGTGGCATCAGCCGTGGGTGTCACGCACCTGAGCCTGCACCGCTGCCAGGCGTATGGGGCTGCCTGTGCTGACTGCTGCCTTGCCCGGGACCCTTACTGCGCCTGGGATGGCCAGGCCTGCTCCCGCTATACAGCATCCTCCAAGAGGTGTGGATCCCTAGACACCTGGGATTTTAGCAACCAGACCCAGGGCCCTATCCTAGGGGATTGAGGGTGCATGTGATATTACCCTCGGGGAGTCTTATGGGTAAGACATCACTTCCCCAGGGAAAAAGGGCCCTGCCCTGGAGTCATCAGGGATACAGGGACCTGGGGGGGCAAGCTTCCTGGGAGTACTCCTTCAGGGGCTATCCCCATTCAGGCGGAGCCGCCGGCAGGACGTCCGGCATGGAAACCCCATCAGGCAGTGCCGTGGGTTCAACTCCAATGGTGAGTATACTGGGCCTCATCGTGGGGTGCTGCTCACACTGCAGAGCGCCATGCAGCCCACGAAGCTGCTCACAGGGCCCCCACTGTAAGGGTGCCCTGATGGCTAATGGGGGGTGGGGGCTAATGGAGATGGGATGTCCCTAGTTGCCCCCTCAAGGAATGGAGCCCCATCAACACAGAGCTCTACATTAGTGAGTGGGTTCCCCTTGGTGCCTGCCCCGAAGCAGCCAACAGGCTGCTCGGAGGTGATGCTGCTTTTGCTCAACCCCTCTCTCACTCTACAGCCAACAAGAATGCCGTGGAGTCTGTGCAGTATGGCGTGGCCGGCAGTGCAGCCTTCCTGGAGTGCCAGCCCCGCTCGCCCCAAGCCACTGTTAAGTGGCTGTTCCAGCGAGATCCTGGTGACCGGCGCCGAGAGGTGAGTGCCTGCGCCCAGTGCTGCACTGTGGATGTGAGAATCCTTGTGCAGTGGTGAAATGTAGTAGAGGAGTGATCTGGAGCAACTCTCATGCTGTGAAACCCCTTCCAAGTTCCCTTCGCTACATGCAGATCCTTTGAGTGAAAACAGTTATGTGGAAACTCCATGGGACTGGCCGCATTCTATGGGAAGTGTTTCTAGGTATGCCTCTTCACATGAAAATTCCATATGCATACCACATTGGGGGTGTATCTTCTACAAAAACATCATATGAGTGAGCTCCAGTATGTGGAAATTCTGTGGGACCCTCATTTTATGGAAATGCCCTATGCCCTACAGGTGTCCCTGTTTACATGGAAGTTCTATGTGGTTATCCCAGTTGCATATTCTCATTAAATGGAAATTCTGGCTGGGTGTGTGGTGGCTCACGCCTGTAACCCCAACACTTTGGGAAGCCAAGGCAGGCAGATTGCTTGAGGTCAGGGGTTCGAGACCAGCCTGGGCAACATGGTGAAACCCTCTCTCTACCAAAAATACAATTAGCTGGACGTAGTCATGCATATGGTCCCAGCTACTTGGGAGGCTAAGGTGGGAGGATGGCTTGAGCCTGGGAGGCAGAGGTTGCAGTAAACTGAGATCATTCAACTGTACTCTAGCCTGGGCATCAGAGCCAGACCCTGTCTCAAAAAAAAAAAAAAAAAAAAGGGAAATTCTGTGTGCGCTTCAAATTTTCCTCATTGTACAGAATGTACAGACCATACCTCCTTATGGTCATCCCTCCTGAAATGGAAATCTGTACAGATGCCTTATTCAAATATCTCTCATTATGTAGAAACTTCATGTGGTTTTTGTGGCATATGGAAATCCCACATGGGTGCCTCTACACAGAATGACCACAAAGGTGGTCTGATCTGGTCACTGGTTAGGGCCTTAGGGTGGTCACAGAGCCTCTGAACCCCCTCTCCTTGCCCCTGCAGATTCGTGCAGAGGACCGCTTCCTGCGCACAGAGCAGGGCTTGTTGCTCCGTGCCCTGCAGCTCAGCGATCGTGGCCTCTACTCCTGCACAGCCACTGAGAACAACTTTAAGCACGTCGTCACACGAGTGCAGCTGCATGTACTGGGCCGGGAAGCCGTCCATGCTGCCCTCTTCCCACCACTGGCCGTGAGCGCCCCGCCACCCCCAGGCGCAGGTCCCCCAACGCCTCCTTATCAGGAGCTGGCCCAGCTGCTGGCCCAGCCAGAAGTGGGCCTCATCCACCAGTACTGCCAGGGTTACTGGCGCCATGTGCCCCCCAGCCCCAGGGAGGCTCCAGGAGCACCTCGGTCTCCTGAGCCCCGGGACCAGAAAAAGCCCCGGAACCGTCGGCACCACCCTCCGGACACATGAGGCCAGCTGCCTGAGCCCTGCCATGGGCCAGCCTAGCCCTTGTCCCTTTTAATATAAAAGATATATATATATATATAAATATATATATATAAAATATCTATATTCTATACACACCCTGCCCCTGCAAAGACAGTATTTATTGGTGGGTTGAATATAGCCTGCCTTAGTGGCAGCATCCTCCAAAACTTAGACCCATGTTGGTCAGAGACGGCAGAAAACAGAGCCAGCCTAAACAGGCCCAGCCAGTTGGTGGGGCCAGGCCAGGACCACACAGTCCCCAGACTCAGCTGGAAGTCTACCTGCTTGACAGCCTCCACCAAGATCTACAGGACAAAGGGAGGGAACAAGCCCTGCTCGAATGGGGCACGGACTGTCCACCTTTTCTGATGTGTGCTGTCACTGTCAACCTGTGCTGTGGCATAGACATGGATGCGAGGACCACTTTGGAGACTGGGGTGGCCTTAAGTGCACTCAGAGAAGGGAAGAAGGGGCCATCACAGGATGCCAGGCCCTGCCTGGGTTGGGGGCACTCAGCCACGGCCAGCCCCTTCCTGGGTATTTATTCTCTATTTATTGGGGATAGGAGAAGAGGCATCCTGCCTGGGTGGGACAGCCCCTTCAGCCCCTTCTCCCCTCCCCGCCTGGCCAGGGCAGGGCCACCCCACTCTACCTCCTTAGCTTTCCCTGTGCCAGTTTGACTCGGAGGCTGGGAGCATAGCAGAGGGGCCAGGCCCAGGCAGGGCTGACGGGAGGCCCCAGCTCTGAGGGGAGGGGGTCCGTGGTAGAGGCCTGGGGCCAGTAGAGGCTCCCCAGGGCTTATGTCCACCACGTCAAGCAATGGGTGTGGATGTAATTAGCTCTGGGAGCAGTTGGGTAGATGGGTGGGGGCTCCTGGCGGCCTTCTGCTGCCCAGGCCACAGCCGCCTTTGGGTTCCATCTTGCTAATAAACACTGGCTCTGGGACTAGACTTTGGCTTCTCTCCTTCGTCAGGGGATTCACAGCCACATGTGGTGGGCCTGGGGAGCCAGGTGGGGGACTGGGAAGGGAGTAGATTGGCTCCATTTAAAGAAACCCAACATGTAGAAACCACATTTAGTTTGACAAACCTGGGCTGCTGCACCACCCCAAACACTTGGGCAGTGCGAAGGGCTGCAGAGCCCCCCCAGGGCCCACTCACTCCTCAGGGTCAGGGAGGGTGGGTGGAGCCTGAAGGCTGAAAGTGGCACAAATGAAACGGCCTCACTCCTGGACAGATCCCCATCATCCAACAGGGTGGGTGTAGAAGCTGCCAGCCTGTGGTAGGAGCCAGCATTCACTTCCCACGCACACTATTTAGAGATAGCCGTTAGTGCTCGGTGTCTGGGGCCCCAGCACCCCCTTGTGGTCTCTTGAGTCTGTGGCAGAGTTGAGTGCTGAAAGGCAGCCAGGTTCCAGGGAAGCAGTCCAGCCAGGAAGCTCAGGGTGCCTGGAGGAGCCTTTGAGAGCCCAAGATTTGGGTTTTCCTATGGAGGTTGAGGGTGGGAAATCTCTAGAACCTGGGAGCTCAACACTTTGGGCTCAACCTAAACAATTTCTGCCCAGCAGTGACCCCTGCACCTGAACAGAGCACCAGACCCCCTAAGCTGAGGCAGGCAGGCCCTGGAGATAAACTTAGGCAGGCCTCAGCACACCCACATCAGAGAGAGCAGGAGCAGGATAGGTGAGCCCCATTCCTCCATACCCCAGGGAACACCATACCTGCTCTGGGATGCAATTTCTCCACCTGACAACAGGCCTGCAAAACATTGTCTGGAAGAGCCTGGCCACCTCTGCAGATCAGAGACTTTGTTGCACCCAAATTCAAGTGTACATATAGGCACAGGCACCTGCAAGCATGCATGCACACACACAGTCATACACAGGCAGAGATGGACACGCAAGGCACACACATGCTCAGGGACACACAGGCATGTTCACACCCCTGCATATAAGCAAGTGCACACGTGCAAACCTACACAAACTGCAAAACACACAAGCTTATGTGTGCATGAAGAGAAGTACACAAAACATTCACACATGCATACACATGTATATACACGTGCACACATAAGCATGCACACAGGCACGGGATTCCTATAAGCACACGCACTCACAAAGGCATAAACACATAGGCACACATGTACACACAGGTATTCATGCACAAACATGTCAAGTTATTGCTCACTTGGTGCCAGTAAAAGACACACCCATGGCCGGGCAAGGTGGCTCACGCCTGAATCCCAGCACTTTGGGAGGCCGAGGTGGGCAGATCACAAGGTCAGGAGATCGAGACCTTCCTAGCCAATATGGTGAAACCCCGTCTTTACTAAAAGTATTTTAAAAATTAGCTGGATATGGTGGCACGTGCCTGTAATCCCAGCTGCTTGGGAGGTTGCGGCAGGAGAAGCTTGAACCAGGGAGTTGAAGATTGCAGTGAGCCAAGATCGCGCCACAGCACTCAAGCCTGGTGACAGTGAAACTCTGTCTCAAAAAAAAAAAATGCTAGGCCGGGCGCGGTGGCTCAAGCCTGTAATCCCAGCACTTTGGGAGGCCGAGGCGGGTGGATCACGAGGTCAGGAGATCGAGACTATCCTGGCTAACATGGTGAAACCCCGTCTCTACTAAAAATACAAAAAACTAGCCGGGCGTGGTGGCGGGCGCCTGTAGTCTCAGCTACTTGGGAGGCTGAGGCGGGAGAATGGCGTGAACCCGGGAGGCGGAGCTTGCAGTGAGCCGAGATCATGCCAGTGCACTCCAGCCTGGGAGACACAGCGAGACTCCGTCTCAAAAAAAAAAAAAAAAAAAAAAAAACTAGCAGGGCAAGGTGGCGGGCGCCTGCAGTCCCAGCTACTTGGGAGGCTGAGGCAGGAGAATGGCGTAAACCCGGGAGGCGGAGCTTGCAGGAGCTGAGATCCGGCCACTGCACTCCAGCCTGGGTGACAGAGCGAGACTCCATCTTAAAAAAAAAAAAAAAAATGCTGGGCACGATGGCTCACGCCTGTAATCCCAGCACTTTGGGAGGCCACGGCGGGTGGATCATGAGGTCAGGAGATCGAGACCATCCTGGCTAACACGGTGAAACCCTGTCTTTACTAAAAATACAAAAAATTAGCCCGATGTGGTGGTGGGCGCCTCTTGTCCCAGCTACTTGGGAGGCTGAGCCAGGAGAATGGCGTGAACCCGGGAGGCAGAGCTTGCCGTGAGCCAATATCGTGCCACTGCACTCCAGCCTGAGCAACAGAGCTAGACTCCGTCCAAAAAAAAAAAAAAGACACATACACCAAGGCACACAGAGAAGATATGCATGCCCACCAGAGTCCGCTGGAAGCCGAGGACCTCTTTGGGGTAGCTCCAGCCTGTGATATGGGATTATGGGATGAATGCAATGCCCACTGTTTCCCTCTCTCTGGATTCCCTGCAGGTCATAAAATCCCAGTCCAGTGTCACCCAGCCCTTCTTAACCACTTCCTCCTGTGTGACGCTTTGAGCCTCTACTTCCTCATCAGTAAAATGAGGCTGATGACATGGGCATCTATCCTCCAGGGCCAGTGTGAGCTTACAACAAGATAAGGAGTGGTGCTGAGCCCGGTGCTGGGCAGGCAGCAGGCATGTTTCTCCCAATTATGCCCTCTCACTGCCAGCTCCACCTCCATCGTCCTCACCCCCAGGGCTCAAGGTTCTGCCTTCCCCTTTCTCAGCCCTGATCCTACCCACTCCCAGGCAGCACCAGGGCCTCTCCTGAAGGGTGGAGGGGGGCAGAAGGACAGCAGGAGTGCAGAGTCAGCGGTTGAGGGATTGGGGCTATGCCAGCCTGATTAGAAGGGTTGGGGGGGCTGAGCTGGATTCACCTGTCCTTGTCTCTGATTGGCTCTTGGACACCCCTAGCCCCCAAATCCCACTAAGTAGCCCCACTAGGGACTGCACAGGTCCGTAGAGAGCCAGTTGATTGCAGGTCCTCCTGGGGCCAGAAGGGTGCCTGGGAGGCCAGGTTCTGAGGATCCCCTCCATCCAGAAGAACCACCTGCTCACTCTGTCCCTTCACCTGCTGCTGGGACCATGGGGGCTGGGGCCAGTGCTGAGGAGAAGCACTCCAGGGAGCTGGAAAAGAAGCTGAAAGAGGATGCTGAGAAGGATGCTCGAACCGTGAAGTTGCTGCTTCTGGGTAGGGGTGTGGGCCCTGGTGGGGCCACTGCCACCAGATCATTGGTCTGGAGGCAGGCAGGCAGCCCTTCTGTGAAGCAAGGGTTCCCTGGGAAGCAATATGAGCCTGCAACAGAGTAGGGCACAGGGTGGGAGCCCTGGCCAAGCAAGGCCAGGCCTGACAGGTGGTGTCCTATTCCCCCAAGGCTGGACATCCCATGAAGCCCCTCTCCAGACGGCTCTGCCTCAGGTGACCCACCCTCCAGAAGTGCGTGCCAACCACACTCTTGCACGAGTGTGTGAGGCTGACTTTTCTGTGGCTGGGCTCCCACAAGCGTCATGCAGCCTTTGGTTTGGTAGGCCTGCTGGGCAGTGCTCAGAAGCCAGGGGCCTCACTGGGAGCCCGTTATTGGGCTGCTACTTTGGGAAGGGGATGGTCATAGTCCTCCTGGGGGTGGGGAGTCTCTAGAACCGCCCAGATCCACAAAGAATGGCCCTCAGGTGCCAGAGGGCTGTGGCTGGTAGACCTACAAAGCAGCCAACGGGTCTGGCAGGTGCTGAGGCCCAGTGGGAGTAGATAAAGCCGTGTCCACCAGACCGTGGGCAGTGAGAAGAGACGGGGCTGATCCAGGCCTGCCTCAAGGTCACTGTCTGACCTCTCAAGGGGAAAGAGCAGCTTCAAGAGGGCCGGGCAGGCTCCACCCAAGCTCCCCAGAGTCTGGTCAACCAGCTGGAGGTGGGTGAGGGACCAAGCCAGTCCCACTTTCCCCCAAGGCAGAGAGGCTAAGCCGGAAATCTCATTAACCGTGCCCAACGCCCTCGCAGGGGCAAGCTCAGAAAGGATGTCAACTCTGCCCTCCCTGCTACCCAAAGGCGCTAATTCCCTCTGAGCCTCTTGGAGACACCCGCATCCCTTCAGGTGAAAAGCAAGGGATTTACCCGCCTCAAATAACCCAGTGCATGCGGTGCCAGAGGCTCCCACGAGGTGGCGATGGCGCTTCGGGATTTCTTCATTGCAGTCTCACAGCATAATAAAGGCTGCCTGTGTCGGTGTCTTGGGGCCTCCCTGTCCCAGAACAGTTGAGGTCGTTGATTCCCCTCGTTGGCTTCCTTTCTTCACTTTCCTGACATTTGCAAACCTTGTGCCTTCACGGTGTCAGGACTTACTTTGGACGGGGTGGGTAGGTGTGGCTACGGGGTGGGGGCTGACGCTCAGGCCTCTTCGCTGCCGGTCCACCCTGACAACTCGGGAGGGCCCGGTCCTCCCGGCCTCCTTGGGGGAGGGGGCAGGCGGTCAGCGCAGCTCTGAGGCGCCGCTTCCCTTTCAGGTGCGGGTGAGTCCGGGAAGAGCACCATCGTCAAGCAGATGAAGTGAGTGCCCCTGCCTGTCCCGAGGTCCCTGGGGCTGGGTCCTTCCCCACTTCCCCACGAGGCTCTGACCCTGCTCGCCTCGGCCTCAGGATTATCCACCAGGACGGGTATTCGCTGGAAGAGTGCCTCGAGTTCATCGCCATCATCTACGGCAACACGTTGCAGTCCATCCTGGCCATCGTGCGCGCCATGACCACACTCAACATCCAGTACGGAGACTCTGCACGCCAGGTGTGCCAGGAGGCGGGCTGAGCGGGCCTCTGGGGACTCGAGGCTCATGGCTGGGCCCGAGTCCCTGGCCGCCACCAGCCACTCTCACCCTGCCCCCAGGACGACGCCCGGAAGCTGATGCACATGGCAGACACCATAGAGGAGGGCACGATGCCCAAGGAGATGTCGGACATCATCCAGCGGCTGTGGAAGGACTCCGGTATCCAGGCCTGTTTTGAGCGCGCCTCGGAGTACCAGCTCAACGACTCGGCGGGCTAGTGAGCGCGTGGGCAGCGCGGGGCGCGGGGCGCAGGGGGCCCTCCACGCCTCCCCACCCACCCACGGCCCGGTCTCGCGCAGCTACCTCTCCGACCTGGAGCGCCTGGTAACCCCGGGCTACGTGCCCACCGAGCAGGATGTGCTGCGCTCGCGAGTCAAGACCACTGGCATCATCGAGACGCAGTTCTCCTTCAAGGACCTCAACTTCCGGTACGACCCACATGCCAGCCCGGGAGGTCACTGCCCCAGGCCCCGTCCTGCCCCGGGGACCCCATCCCTGCGATAGACCCTGCCCCTTCCTGGATATCCCGCCAGCAGAAAGGGTAGTAGTCCCAGCAGAGAGCTCCCCGACCAGCACAGGGCGAGGGGATGCTCCCTGTTAGGCCCAGGGCGCGGGTTCAGGCCCCCGCGGCCCCGCAGGATGTTCGATGTGGGCGGGCAGCGCTCGGAGCGCAAGAAGTGGATCCACTGCTTCGAGGGCGTGACCTGCATCATCTTCATCGCGGCGCTCAGCGCCTACGACATGGTGCTGGTGGAGGACGACGAAGTGGTGGGTGCCAGGCAGGGCCTGTGTTCCAGGGGCCAGGAGGAGTTGCTGGCCCCTGGAGGCGGAGACGGCGCGCTGGGCGTGGGGAGGGCCCGGGAGGGGATGCTGGTCCCGGGCAGCCTGAGGAGGCCGGTAGGCGTTCAGCAGGCCCATCTGGGGCAGTGCGGGGCGCCCTCTGAGAGCCAGCTTAACAGGAAGCCCCACGTGCCCGGGAGCCCAGAGAGCAGGGGCTGCGGGTCGGACGCGACCCCCGGTGCCCAACAGCTGCTGCCCTCCTCAGAACCGCATGCACGAGAGCCTGCACCTGTTCAACAGTATCTGCAACCACCGCTACTTCGCCACGACGTCCATCGTGCTCTTCCTCAACAAGAAGGACGTTTTCTTTGAGAAGATCAAGAAGGCCCACCTCAGCATCTGTTTCCCGGACTACGATGGTGAGACGTCCCGCACTGTCGCCAGGCTGCGCCCCCGCCCCACGATCCCGGCGCGCGCCCCCGGCAAAGGGAAGTAAGGGCTGGGCCGAGTGAGGGCTCCCACCCCCGCAGGACCCAACACCTACGAGGACGCCGGCAACTACATCAAGGTGCAGTTCCTCGAGCTCAACATGCGGCGCGACGTGAAGGAGATCTATTCCCACATGACGTGCGCCACCGACACGCAGAACGTCAAGTTTGTCTTCGACGCTGTCACCGACATCATCATCAAGGAGAACCTCAAAGACTGTGGCCTCTTCTGAGGTAGGTCGCTGCCCTCTCCAGCCCCTTGCCTCAGTACTCCAGCCCCGCCCCAGCTCCCCACCCCACACCGCGGCCTGGCGTCTCACCCCCAAATCCTGGAGCCCACTGCCTCTAGGCCCCACCCCAGCTCCTCAGGCTCCACCTCACCGCCACAGGCCCCGCCCCACCCACAAGTCCCGCCCATTGAATTTATTTTGGCCCCGCCCCAAGACCTCAGGTGTCACAGCTTCCAGGGCCGCCCCCCCAACCCACCACACACACAATGCCTAAACCCATTTATTTTGGGTCTCAGGGATGCTGACTGGGTTTCGTTTTCTCTTCACAGGTGCCTGAATTCATGCGTGTCAGTCACCCTGAGACCTGGTAGCCCTAGCTGCCTTGCAGCCCCAACCGCCAGGACCCTATCAGCCCCCAGGACTCCCAGGCTCCAGCCTGCCACATCACCAAAGCTCTGAGCCCTGCTAGCTTTGAGGCACGAATCCTCCCCCATACCTCCCACAGTATCTCAGCACCTCATGCCCCCAACCCCAGCCCTGCCCTTCACCGCCTGGCTGCACTGGCCTCTAATATTCACAGCAGCCAGCCCCAGCTAGGAACGGGTAGGACTTGGGGCAGCTGAAACTCACCGTGACTCAGCAGTCCCCAGCTGACCAATCTTCCACAGCTCTCCTGCCCCTGGGGGCCCACGACTCACCTGGTGGGCCTGGGCTCAACAAACAGCTCTCCCTCCCAGCATTTCATCAAGGACAGGGAATACCCCTCCCACACACAGGCCAGCTGCTCATCCTGCCACCTCCATGTGACAAGTTTGACACCAGTCTACCCAGAGACAGTGACTGTCCCTCCCAGCAGCCTCCAAAGGGTCCAAAGTCCAAGTTAGCTCTGGCCTGTGCGGTCCCCACATAAATACATTAGTGGGGAGGGGGCAGACCTGGGGGCCCTTGGGTGCCAGAGTGAGAAAAAACAGGACTCTTCCCCAAATACTAGGCTCAGAGCAACCTCCAGCCTTCTCCATCAGGATCTGCTCCCTGTGTCCTTGGACACCAGATCCACACACCACTTCCTCACCCAAACACAGTACCCCGGGCTAGCTGGACAACAGGATGGCCTGTTAAGGGAGGGTACTGTTGACACCAGCTGTAGCCAATAGCCGGGCTGTCCTGAGGGGTGGCTGGGGGCAGAGTCCAGCTCCCTTTGATTAGCCCAGAGGACTCAGGATAGGACAAAGGCCCTGGCTGTGCCCAAAGGGGTCTACCTCAGGTGGGGTTACAAGCAAACCTGGGTGACCCTCTTGTCCCTACCAGCAGCTTCTCTTGCCCCCTCCATTCAGGGTTCCCTGGCAGGGGAAGCTGAGAGCCATGCCTGAACTATCAGGGACAAAGGCCCATGTCCCCACATCCCTGCTCCCTCCTTCCTCATCCAGCACCAAATCTTTGCTTATGTCCACAGGCCAAGGCCTGTGCTGCAGTTGGGGACAAGGAGCTTCCATCTGGCAAGGCTGGGGCACAATTTGCACTCCCCTCAGCTAGATGTGCAAACTCAGCAATAAACCTTTGCATCAGGCCCCAGCTGTCCTTTCTTGGTGGAGGGCTTAATTATCACAAGTCATGGGCATTTATTAAGTGCCCGGTGCTGGGCTGGGCATGAAGTGGGAAGATGGCCCCTCCCAGGAAGAAGTACCTGGCCTGACAAGGTGGGGCACTCTTGTGGGTATGGAACCAACTCATGGCTTTTGATGGGGGTTGAGCAGAGAGGAGTTGTGGAAAATGTTCACTGGGACAGTCTTGGATCAAGAGGGAGTTTTGAGGTGGAGGCTCATTCTGGCAGGGACAGTAGTTTTACCAGCCCTAGAAACATGGGTTCATGGCCACAGGAGTTCAGTGCAGCAAGAACAGGGGAGGAGAGACGTGGACAGGTACCCAAAGCCAGCTGGAGGGCCTGGGCTTTCTCAGAAGGTGATGGAGAGTCTTGGAAGCCCTCAAGGCAGGAACATAATTGCAGGGCTGGCATTAGGGTGAGGGAAGTGAGGCACACTCACCTCGTGTGCAAAATTTAAGGCAATGTCAAAAAATTTAGTAACCAAGATAAATAATGTTAGTATATTTTTAAAAATCAAAATGAATGCAAAACCTCACAACGAATGAAATATCAAAATCCAACAGAGGATCCAACAGAGGCATGCTAAGATATATTGGGGCCTGAAGCAAAGGGAAAACTATTAGTTGCTATTATGTTTGTAGGGATTTTTTTGCCAGTTTTAAAAATACATGTATCATAAAGTTTACTATCTCAACCACTTGCCAGTGTACAGTTTGGTGGTGTTAAGTACATTCATAACGTTGTACAACCACCACAACTGTTCATCTCTAGAACTCCTTTCCTCTTGTAAAACTGAAACTCTGTACCCATGAAAAAATAACCCCCCATTCCTGCCTTCCCCCGGTCCTGGCACCCACCATTCTACTTTCCTTCTCTATGAATGTGACTGCTCTAAGTGCCTCAGATGTGTGGGTCCATGGAGTCTTTGTATTTTCGCAACTGGCTTATTTCACTTAGCATCATGTCTTCAAGGTTTATCCATGTGTAGCATGTGGCAGAATCTCCTTCCTTTTAAAGGTTGTATATATTCCACACTTTGTTTATTCATTCATTTATTGATGAATGGTTACATCTGCCTTTTGGCTATTATGAATAATGCTGCTATGAACGTGGGTGTACAAATCTCTCTCCCAGCCTCTGTTTTTTATTATTTTGGGTGTATACCCAGAAATGGAACTGGCAAATCATATGGTGAATCTTTTTTTTTTTTTTGAGATGGGGTCTCTTTCTGTCACCAGCATGGAGTGCAGCGGCACGATCTCGGCTCCCTGCAACCTCCACTTCCCAGGTTCAAGCGATTATCCTGCCTCAGCCCCCTGAGTAGCTGGGACTACAGGCGCATGCCACCACGCCCAACTAATTTTTGTGTTTTTAGTAGAGACGGGGTTTCACCATGTTGGCCAGGATGGTCTCAATCTCTCTAGATCTCAGGTGATCAGCCCGCCTGAGACTCTCAGAGTGCTGGGATTACAGGTGTGAGCCACTGCAACCAGCCTCATAAGGTGAATCTATTTTTATTTTATTTTATTTATTTATTTATTTAGAGATGGAGTTTTGCTCTTGTTGCCCAGGCTGGAGTGGCAATGGCATGATCTCGGTTCACTGCAACCTCTGCCTCCTGGGTTCAAGCAATTCTGCCTCAGCCTCCCAAGTAACTGGGATTACAGGCATGTGCCACCACACCTGGCTAATTTTGTATTTTTAGTACAGATGGGGTTTCACCCCCCTCTGTTGGGACCAGGCTGGTCCTGAACTCCCGACCTCAGATGATCTGCCAGCCTCGGCCTCCCAAAGTGCTGGGATTACAGGCATGAGCCACTGCGCCTGGCCCCTTTTTTTTTCTTTTTTTGAGATGGAGTCTCACTTGGTAGCCCAGGCTGGAGTGCAGTGGCTTGATCTCAGCTCACTGCAATCTCTGCCTCCCGGGTTCAAGCGATTCTTCTGCCTCAGTCTCACGAGAAGCTGGGAGTATAGGCACCCGCAACCATGCCCGGCTAATTTAGTAGAGATGGGGTTTCACCATGTTGGCCAGGCTGGTCTTGGACTCCTGACCTCAGGAGATCCGCCCACGTAGGCCTCCCGAAGTGGTGGGATTATAGGCATGAGCTGCTGCACTTGGCCTACATTTAATATTTTGAGGAACAGTTTTCCACAGCAGCCGTACCACTTTACATTCCCACCAACAGTGCACAGGTGGTCCACCTTTCTCTACATCTTTGTGAACTCTTGTTATTTTCTGGGTTTTGTTTTGTTTGAGATGGGGTCTCGCTCTGTCACCCAGGCTGGAGTGTAGTGGTGCAATCTCGGCTCTGCAACCTCCGCGTCCCAGGTTCAAGCAATTCTCCTGTCTCAGCCGCCCAAATAGCTGGGACTACAGCTTCACGCCACCACGCCTGGCTAATTTTTTTTTTTTTTTTTTTTTTTTTAATTGAGACGGAGTTTCACTCTTGTTGCCCAAGCTGGAGTGCAATGGTGCGATCTTGGCTCACTGCAACCTCTGCCTCTGGGTTCAAGCATTTCCTCTGCCTCAGTTTCCCAAGTAGCTGGGATTATAGGCATGTGCCACCACATCTGGTTAATTTTGTATTTTTGGTAGAGACGGGGTTTTTCCATGTTGGTCAGGCTGGTCTCAAACTCCCGACCTCAAGTGATCCACCCGCCTCGGTCTCCCAAAGTGCTGGGATTACAGACATGAGCCACCGCACCTGGCCTATTTTTATTTTTTAATAGTAGTATCTCTTGGTAGTTTTTATTTGCATTTTCCTACTGCTTAGTGATGTTGAGAATCTTTTCCTGTGCTTATTCGCCATCTGTATATCTTCTTTGGAGAAACGCCTGTTCACACCCTTTGCCCATTTTTGAATTATTTTAATGTTGTTGTTGAGTCTTAGAAGTTCTCTATATATTCTGGAGAATAATTCCTTATCAGAGACAGGATTTGCAAATTTTTTCCCCACTCTGTGGGATGCCTTTTAAACTCGTTTTATGTATTTTTTTTTTTTTTTTTTTGAGACGGAGTCTCACTCTGTCTCCCAGGCTGGAGTGCAGTGGCCGGATCTCAGCTCACTGCAAGCTCCGCCTCCCGGGTTTACGCCATTCTCCTGCCTCAGCTCACTGCAAGCTCCGCCTCCCGGGTTTACGCCATTCTCCTGCCTCAGCCTCCCGAGTAGCTGGGACTATAGGCGCCCGCCACCTTGCCCGGCTAGTTTTTTTTTGTATTTTTTAGTAGAGACGGGGTTTCACCTTGTTCGCCAGAATGGTCTCGATCTCCTGACCTCGTGATCCGCCCGTCTCGGCCTCCCAAAGTGCCGGGATTACAGGCTTGAGCCACCGCGCCACGCCTGTTTTATATATTTTTAATGGTTATTTTTTTTCCAGAACATTAAATAGTTGAAAAAACTTGAAAAAGTAGGTATGTTAAAACTCACATTATTTTAAGTTTAAATATTTTATTTATAACTTAAACAGAATTTTTTTTTTTTTTTTTTGAGACGGAGTCTCACTCTGTCACCCAGGCTGGAGTGCAGTGACGCAATCTCAGCTCACTGCAAGGTCTGCTGCCCGGGCTCACACCATTCTCTTGCCTCAACCTCCTGAGTAGCTGGGACTACAGGCGCCTGCCACCACGCCCGGCTAATTTTTTTTGTAGTTTTAGTAGAGACGGGGTTTCACCATGTTAACCAGGATGGTCTCGATCTCCTGACCTCGTGATCCACCCACTTTGGCCTCCCAAAGTGCTGGGATTACAGGCGTGAGCCACCACACCCAGCCTTTTTTTTCTTTTTTCTTTTTGAGATGGAGTTTCACCCGCGTTGCCCAGGCTGGAGTGCAATGGTGCAATCTTGGCTCACCGCAACTTCCGCCTCCTGGGTTCAAGCGATTCTCCTGCCTCAGCCTTCCGAGTAACTGGGATTATAGGCATGTGCCTCCACACCTGTCTAATTTTGTATTTTTAGTAGAGACGGAGTTTTTCCATGTTAGTCAGGCTAGTCTTGAACTTCCAACCTCAGGTGATCCGCCTGCCTCACCTCCCAAAGTGCTGAGATTGCAGGTGTGAGCCACTGGCCCAGCCAGAATTTCTTATAATTCTATTTTCCTGGGTTTAATGGAGACAAAAATAACCAATAATATTTTCAAAATCTGCTTCTTGAAAAAATAATTATTAAAAGTTTTCGGCCGGTTGCGGTGGCTCAAGCCTGTAATCCCAGCACTTTGGGAGGCCGAGGCGGGTGGATCACGAGGTCAGGAGATCGAGACCATCCTTGGCTAACATGGTGAAACCCCGTCTCTACTAAAAATACAAAAAACTAGCCAGGTGAGGTGGCGGGCGCCTGTAGTCCCAGCTACTCAGAGGCTGAGGCAGGAGAATGGCGTGAACCCAGGAGGCGGAGCTTGCAGTGAGCCGAGATCGCGCCACTGCACTCCAGCCTGGATGACAGAGCGAGACTCCGTCTCAAAAAAAAAAAAAAAAAAAAAAAAGTTTTCATTAAGGCTGGGCGTGGTAGCTTTTGAGTGTAATCCTAGCATTTTGGGAGGCAAAGGGGGAAGAATCACCTGAGGTCAGAAGTTCGAGACCAGCCTGGCCAACATGGTGAAACCCCATCTCTACTAAAAACACAAAAATTAGCTGGGTGTGGTGGCACATCCCTGTAGTCCCAGCTACTTGTGAGGCTGAGGCAGGAGAACTGCTGGAGCTGGGAGGCAGAGGTTGCACTGAGATTGTGCCACTGGGCGACAGAGCGAGACTCTGTCTCAAAAAAAAAAATTTTTTTTTTCATTGGAACACGTATATAGGGGCACATATTTTTCCTGGAGCCAGTGTGAGTTTGGAGGAGGAGAGGAGTGTGGCTCGGGTCCCCATGAGGCATAGGTTATGTCTCTATTATCTGACAAAACCAAGGCTACAAGGTGAGGGGCTCAGTGACATGGGTTGGGGTCTGAGCGGTTGACCAAGCACAGGCAATGCCCCCACCAAGCCCGTATTGCAAAGGGGTGTTGGATGGGCTGAATTTGCAGGACCTGTAGTGCTTGGGAGAGATGCCCAGGAGGCTGACTGATACTCAGTGCTGGACAGAAAGCTAAGTGTAGGCGACATCCTCAATGTCCAGGTGGTGGGGAGCTGTGAGCCTGTGGGAGGCTGGAGAGGGGAGCATGAGGGCACCCAGGCCTGAACACAGGAAGAACACTGGATGGGGTTGGGAGGCCAGCGCACATGTGGGCAGTGATATTGGTGCTGCTCAGAAGACTGGGCATGGCGGGGGGATCTGGCCAGTGGTGCAAGACCCCTGCTGGGTGCTGTTGGCCTGGCTGAGCCAGGGCTGTTCATCTCTACTAAGGACCCGCTCCCCAGTTTGCTAGAGTGAGGTGGGATGCAGGTAGTGACAGAGGGAGGTAGTGGGCATGGGATAGGAGGCCTTGAGGAGCTGGAAGTGTTAGGCTTGAGAGGGAGGAAGCTGTCAGGAGAGGTGACTTAGTGGGGCCTTCTGCATAGCCACCTTGTCTTGGCAGAAAGGTAATGTGCTCCCCAGCCTTCCTGGGCAAGGGACAGAAGAGCCCCAACAACATGCAGGGGCTGGACCCTGCCCTCCAGATGGTCCCATCCACATATGCTTCTGACCCTGGGGTCTGGGATTCAGGGTCGGTACTCACGGATTCTGTGAGTTGGGGACACTGCCTGGCTTCAAACTGCCCTGTCCATGGCCAGCAAGTGCAGAGAGGCCCTGAGTCTCCCAGCCTGAAACCTGCTTAGCCCTGCTCACCACACCAGTGTAATTACACCCTAAGGAGCAGGATCAATGGGTACCTGATGCCTGATTCATAGTCCAGTGCAGAGGATCAGAGAGCACTGGCCCAGAGTCAGCACAGTGGCCACACCCCAGTCTTGTAAGTGGGGGGCATTTACTGTGGTCACCTCAGCCACCACCATCCCTACCTGACCTACAACCTCAAGGTGCCCCTGAGGGCCCCCACAGCCTTCAGCTCTGGCTCTGGCGGGACTAACCTGGCCCGGCCACCAACCAGAGATTAGACAAGCCTGGTGGACAGTTAATGCCGCTGACGTCAGGGCCTGGCCGGGTGGCCAGTAGGGGTTTGGGCCCTCCCCACAGGCAGTAGCACAGTCCATGTGACCAGGGCTCATTAAGCCGCTTCAGTGGCCAGAGAAGCTGGGGGCCAGATCTCAGGAGAGAGAGGGTAGGCACGTCAGGGCTGTGGGGATGAGGCCTTAGCCATGAGGTCACCAGTTCTGGGGACCCAGGCCAGGGAAGGGCTGGATAAGAGGGTTGCCTATGGGTCCCCTCCATATTTCTACACTCTGTGTTGTGGCAATAAAGCCCTGTTCATGCCCAAAGAGTAGCCTCCCAGGCACCAAACTGAGCAGAGCAGAGTCAGCAGCTGAGGTGTAGTAATAGACCTTAAGGTATAGGGGTGAGAACCACCTTCTCCTGAGGATTTCAAACTCCCGATCATGAGCCCAGAAGGAGCGTGCTGCCCTGCACGCAGCCCTCCGCCCACCAGGGCTAGCCTGACGCCCAGGCTCCTTTTCCCTCCAGCCGAGCTCCTTTCTCCATCCACGGTGCCCTTTCCCTCCCCACCCTGGCTTGTGCCTTCTTCCCCTTGGCAGAGCAAGTCCGTGGGTTGCTTCGCCATCAGGCTCTCCTTGATTTGCGCCCTCCAACCTTGCAGGCGCTTTCACTTCTAGACCACCTGGAGATAGTGCTTGGAGACACTAGGGCTGGGGCTGTGTGGGTGGGGTGACAAGAGCAGCAAGAGCAGTCATTGTTGGACTAGCTGGCTCTTCACGATGACTCAAGCAGGGTTCTCAGAGGTGATCTATGAGGGTGATGAAGGACAAGTAGGAGTCTGCCAAGGAGGTGGGACAGGGTAGGGAAACTTCAGCCCTGGGAAGTACGAGGGCAGAGGCACAGGAGCATGAAAGCTAGCAAGTTCTGCAAAGAGTAGGAACATGTACAGCGAGGCCAGCCAGGCCTGGGAGAGGTGGAGAGGCCTGCTGGGAGCAGGTGGGGAGATATGAGTGAGACCAGCCAGGTGTGGGGGCAGGAGCTGCAGGGGGTCTGAGGAGTCAGGGGACACAGATACTGGGCTCTGGAAGGGCTGGGTTGGAGGCAAAGATGGGGCATTGCTGTTGGAGATGGTCTTGGGGCACTGTGTGGACAGCATGTTAACAGAGGTGGTGGCATGGTGAAAACAGGCGGCCTAGCTAGTGGCTAAGAGTTAATTACTAGAAAGGAAGGAGGAGAGCCAAGGGCTATCGGTGCCCTGGAAGGAGGATGTGAGTGGTCCCTGAGCTCTGCTGCACAGGTCTGGCAGTCTTTCAGGCCTGGGTTTAAGTTTGCGGAGATGGGGCAGTGGAGGTGGAGGCTGGGCTGAAGCCTGGGATAAAGCTTCCCCCATCCTCCATTCCAAGAGGCCGCCTGCAATCCTGCGGTTGCTCGGATGGACATTCCCTCCAGCCTCTGGGAGAAGGCGACCAGCAGCTCTCAGAGCCACATCCTAGCTGTCCAGCTGTCCGGCCACCACTGGCTGGGCCGGGAGATTCGGCAGGTGGCGGGAAAGGCCTCCGAGCTGTGTTTGCCCTGGCTAGGGCCCAGGCCTAGCAACAACAAACAGTCAGCCCCTCCCCCAGCCTGGCCACAACTGGTCTGACCCAGGGACCCCACATCATACACGCCTCTGGGCCTCCCACAGCAGCCCAGCCCAGCCAGCCCCTGCTTCCTCCAGTCTAGATTGAGGACCCCAACACCCATATCCCAGGTGACCTTGAGCCAGCCCTGGCCCCTCATGAACTGCCAGTGAGAGCCACCAGCCCTTTGCAGACAGCTCCTGTGAACATCCAGGGTGTCTGCAGGTGAGAGGTTGAGAGGTGGGAGGCAGGCCTGAGACCCTCCTCAGCGCCTCTTCTACATGGCTCTGTCCTATGGCAGAACCATGCCCTTTTGGAGGGTGGGAGTCAAAGTGAGCTCTGATCTAGGGATGATATCGGCTCCAGACCAGGAGTGAAAGGCAGCCCTTTCCCATTTTCCAGTCACCAGCAAGGCAGAAGTTCGAGTGGCTTGAGGTTTTCAGGGGTTGCCACCATCCCAATGCTTTTCTCTCTAGCCCTGCCTGCCAGAGCTGAGCCCACTACCCCGTCTCACAGCTTCCCCTCTGCCCATTCCCCTCAGGAAAAAAGATAGCCATTTCCATGTGACAGAGGGAAACTGAGGTACGCCAGGTTGGCTGTGGTGGTTCTGTGAGTCAGCAGGAGAGAATCCTGGAGTCCTGACTCCCAGCCCAGGGCAAGGGAGGGTCAGGTATGTCCTCTGAGGGCATTCCTCCAGCACTGGGAAGCAGGGCAGGCATGACACAGAGAAGACTAGCTTGGATAGGAACAGCAGAGGCCATGAGATTAATCGGATCAGAGCCAGTGGCTGAGAAGCAAGGGGCACAGCTGTTCTGAGAACCCCCCCAGTTCACCCCAAAGGTCAGCATCTCCCCCAGCTTCCTACTGGCAGAACCTGGGACCTTAACACCTACCACCCGCCTCTGAGCACCAAGGCCTTGTGTGGAAAGCAGGCAGGGGTGGGGCAGGAACCCCCAGCCAAGAACGGGGCCATCCTAAAACCCCTGTCTGTCCCCAGGGCACCAAGTCCCAGCCCCCTTCTTGTGGACAGGCTGACAGTTGTCTCCTACACCTTCTAAATAAGGATGGGGGTCATGGTTGGGGGGGCCCCAGGTGAGGCTCAAGCAAGCCAAGCCTTACTCCTTACCTGACCTCGCTGCCCCTGTCCTCTCTGTTCCAGCCTCAGCCTCCTCTTAATATCTGAGGTGGAGACAGAATTGATACAAGAAGCCCTCCCACCCTCGCCCCCACCCCACCCTTGGTTGGGAAGGGGGAGGCAGATAGAAGAGGTATTTTGTTGCCTGAGTGTCGCCTGGAAGTCCCTCATTCAAGTATCCCTCACTGAGGCTATGCATTGCCAGTCCTCTTGACTGAAGCTCGCCTTCTGGCTTTGAGGGGTGTGGGCAGAGCGTTTCAGGGGTTAAGGTGACACCCACAGACCTCAGAGAGAATCTGCTTCGGACTGAAGCATTCCCCCCACAAGACTCAACGGAGCCCCTCCAGCAGTTCTGCTCTCCCACCTAGGGGCTCCTTAACGCTCAGGCCGCCCCTTTGCTCCCGGCCTGCCCCGGCCCCAGCCATTCCCCGACCAGCCCCTCCTCCCGCGGGCAGCCAGGGATTGGCGGGCCGGGGGCGGGCCGGGGGCGGGGCCGGGCGCCCTTCATCCCCACCGTCGCTGTTGTCGCTGTTGCAGCCCTGAGTTCAGCTGGGAGCAGAGCGGACCGCACCGGCCCGAGCGGAGCGCCGCGCGTGCCCAGCCGCGAGGCCAGGTACCGCTTCGGGTGTTCATCCTGCCGCACAGGGGAATCGGGTGGGCCGAGCGCTACTGTCCACCCTCCTTGTCCATAGCTGGGCTCTGGGCAGCTCTCCTCTCGCGTCCTGACCCGGGCAGGCGCCCCAGCCTCCGGCGAGCCAAAGCCCCGCGCGCTCCAGGCGCCGGTCTTGGGGACCTGCCAGTCGGGACTCAGCGCCGAGCTTGAGCAGGGCGCTGGAGGTACCGGGAGGGACACGTCGTCGCCTTGGGGCCTCTCGGCATGGCCGGGAGGTGCAGCAGGAGGTCGGCGGGCACCCGGGGCTGGGACCACAGGACGCCTTGTTGGAGGCTCGGGCGGCACGCCCCAGGCTTTCTGAGGCAGGGCCCGTGGGGCAGGCTGGAGAGGGCCCGGGGGGAGGACCCAAGAGGAGCCTGGAGCAGTCCCTGGAGCGCTGCCCCGACGGGCGCCTGACAGGCAGAGCAGCCCGGCTGGCACGATGGGAATCCGGTATATTTATCTCGGCTGCTTTGGACAAGGGCTTGAGGGCAGATCGGGCCGGGCCGCCTGAGGGGCCGCGGGGTACATGCTGGTCCCAGAGTCGGTGCCATTTGCAGAGGAGCCAGCGGGCACAGAGGACGCAGGGCGCGCGTGGCTCCCTGACCTGTGGCCCGGGCGCCGTGCGAGCTCCTCCCAACCTGGAGCTGGGTAGGGTATAAGTCAGAGCCGGCGCAGCGCACTGCGGAGAGAAGGAACCAAGACTTGGTTTGCAAGAGCCCGCCCCCGCCCGGTTGGCCCCTTCGATTGGCCACATCGAATGCGTGCATTTGTTTACACCCGGGCAGGGGGAGGCCAGGGGCGGGACCTGCGGGGACCCGCCCTTTTCCCCCCACAGGGACCTGAGTCCTGAGTCCAGGTATGGGCTCCCAAACAGGTCTGAGAAAGGCTAAGTCAAAGGCTCTTGAGCCCTGAGGAACACCGTGGAAGACATCCCCACTCATGTCCATCCTTCCTTCAGCCTGCCAACCCTGTCCTTTCTTCCATAACCCACTCGGGGCACAGACCTGCCCCTGGAAAATGCCCTTGGACCTTTCACCTCTTCCTGTTCTGTAAAAGGTCTGGGATGGGGCTCATTTCCTTTTGGAAAGGAAGCAAATCCCTCAGGGCTCTCAGTCTGGGGGATAAAAAGCTAAAGAGACCCAAGGATGGTTCGATTTTGAATGGGGGATATTAGGCACAGCCAGGGTACGCTTCCTGCAAGAAGCATCACTGGTGGGAGGGATCAGGACTGGAAGATGCCAAGCCTGGCCCGTCTCTGAGAGGGCTGGAATGACTGAAACCAGAAATGGGAATCTGATTTCTTGACATTGGGAGCAGGGAGCCGAATCTCTGGGGAGGGTGGGAGTGTGTATCTCAGAATTTTGCTCTGCCTGGGCCCATGGGACCCATGTCTTTGCTGGCCTCTCAAGTCACTCTTCGTTGTGTGCTGGTTCTTTTGGCCCATGTCACAAATGGTCCCCACACCAGTCCAGGGCTCCAAGTTGCCAGATCATGACAACTGGTTGCTCCTGCTCTTGTGCCATTGCCCTAGCAAGTAGCCTTGAAGCCCTGGACAGATGGAGAAACTGAGGCACAACAAGACTGGCTGGGTGGTTCATGGTCTCTGGGTTGAGTCAGGGAAGGATTTTAAGCTGAACTGGACACACCCTGGAAGTCTGGGTTGGGTGTGAGGACAAGCATCCAGTTTGAGAGGGAAACATATTTGGAGGGGAGTGGTGCGGGTGGGCCACCAGGGAGGTGCAGTTTTGGCATCTCTGTGAACAGAAAGCTGAGGTGGAATGTGCAGTCTATGCTATAGTAGAATTGGAACTCAGGGGGAGGATGTTCTAGTGTAGACATGGCCAGGGGCCAGGCCTCAGTTGGAGCAGGTAAGAGGGCTTGCCGAGGGCCTCAACTGCATTCCATTAATTTATTTTTATTTGTTTCATTTTTTGAGATGGGGTCTCACTCTGTTGCCCAGGCTGGAGTGCAGTGGCACAATCTAGTCTCACTGCAGCCGCCGCCTCCCAGGCTCAAGCAATTCTCCCATCTCAGCCTTCTGAGTAGCCAGGACCGAAAGGTGCGCAACACGAAGCCTGGATAATTTTTTTGTATTTTTGGTAGAGGCAGAGTTTCATCATGTTGCCCAGACTGGTCTCGGACTCCTGAGCTCAAGCAGTCTGCCTGCGTTGGCCTCCCAAAGTGCTGGAATTACAAGTGTGAGCCACCGTGCCTGGCCATTCCATTCATTTAACATTTGCTGAGCACCTACTGTGTGCCCTGTGTAATCTTGTCTAGTGGGCAAAGGGTAGGCCTTTGACTCTAGGTAGTAGGACAGACATAGGAGAACAGGGTGGGGCTCTAGAGGACCAGGCGGGGCTTCTGGGGGCCAAAGGGAAGGACCAGCTGCTGGGCAGGAGGGGCTTTCCGGCCAGTGGCCTGGGGTGGCTTGGTTTTGAATTTCCGCTCTGCGGGCCACGTCCTGTACACAGCCTCTCAGCCGGCACGTCTGCACACGTGCATGGCTGCTGAGAATGGGGGTCACTCCAACTGACCATCATCTCCACATGTATTTTCCATTGCTCAGGTAGACAAGTCCTGGGTGCTGGACCAGGGATCTCTGAGCTTTCCAGTTGGGCCTGGCCTTGTGGCCCTAGTGGGCTCAGCCCCACCCTCTGGGTGTCATAGCACCTGGCTGGTAGGGGCATAACCTGCTCTGTGGAGACCTGGAGGCACAGCAGCAGTCTTTTTGTGGGGTCCTCCAGGGTTCTGCCTGGCCATCTTGGCAGTGTCCGTTGGGCCTACTGCCCCCTCACCTGGGATCCCTGGCTCCCTCTCCCCTTCTCTCTCTTTCTGGGGCTTTTTCCTCAGTTGTCTCTTTTTTTTTTTTTTTTTTTTTGAGATAGGGTCTCTCTCTGTTACCCAGGCTGGCATGCAGTGGCATGATCTTGGCTCACCGCAGCCTCTGCCTCCGGGATCAAACAATTCTCCTGCCTCAGCCTCCCAAGCAGCTGGGATTACGGGCACCTGCCACCATGCCTGGATAATTTTTGTATTTTTAGTAGAGATGGGGTTTCACCATGTTGGCCAGGCTGGTCTGGAACTCCTGGGCTCAGGTGATCTGCCCGTCTTAGCCTCCCAAAGTGCTGAGATTACAGGCGTGAGCCACCACGCCCGGCCTTACAACCATCTCTTGCTGTCTCGTTGTCTGTCTCTTCCTCCATTTGGCTGTCTCTGACTGGGCGCTCACTCTGTTTCTCACCTCCCTGGTTGTCTCTGTCACTCTCTGTCTCCCTGTCTAAATGTCTGTCCGCTATCTGCATGTGATTTTTGTCTGTTTTTCTGTCTGTGTCCCTCTGTGTGTATCTGCATTTCCCTGTCTCCCTGGGCCTCTGCATCTCTGTCTGTCTGTCTTTCTCTCTGTATGGATCAGTATGCATGGACGCATGGAGCTAATGACTGTTTTCTCTCCCTGCTCTCTCCCTGTCTATCTCTCTTCCCTCCCTCTTCCTCTTCTTCCTGATGTTGGATGTTGCCCCTCCTCCAGGCCGACCTTGACTTTAGCCCCCCATTGGACTCTCTGATGAGTCCTGAACTGCCCGAGGCCTGTGTTGCAGCTTTCTTTGGGGCCAGAAGTCCGGCTGTCCAAATATTTGGCCGCCTCCAGGGGATTCCGGGTCAGCAGGGAGGAGAATGGGCTGGCTGGCGCAGGGTCTCCCCTGCCCCTGGGGGGCCACAGTCACGTGATGTCCTGTCTTTTGCCTCAGCTGGGCCTCGGGCTGCACGTCCTTCTCAGCAGACTGGCAATGGGGGAGGTGGGGGCTGCTGTTGCTGTAGCCCACTCGTGAACCAAGAGCTTCTGGCTGCAACCTCTATGGGTGGCAGCCTGAGCAAGGAGGGTCCAGGGCTGGGTGGGAAGGGAGGCTGAGGTGCCTAAGATTAGGCCCAGCTACAAGCATCTGTTAGAAAATGTACCCGGCCACAGGAAAGTCTACCTTCCGGCCCCAGCTGGGTCTCTCAGATCCTCCTAGACACCTCCGGATGCCCAGAACACACAGCCACAGACCCTAGATCCCAAGGCCAGGGAACTGGGGGTTGAGGATTAACGTAGCCAGTAGTTCAGTTCTCTGGGCCATCTGCCTTCCCCTGAATGTGCCCCCTCCTGCATGTCACTTCCTCGGTATTAGCCCAGTGTTGGTCACACACTGGCCACTTGCATTGTTGTGTTGTTGATGAGGAGGACGTGGCAGAGGGAGGACTAGAATCTACTGGGGTCAAAATCTGGAAACGTGGGTCTGGAGGAGGGTAAGAGGTGTCTTTTCCCTGTTCTAACATCCTCCTCCCACTTGCTTTGTCCCTAGACCCCTGACCCCAGCAATCAGCTACCACTAATTCCTGTGGCTGTGCCTTGAGAACATACAGTCCAAATGTCTCCACTGGATCTGGTTTCCCCTCTTACTAACACCTTGTCCTAGGAGGGGGCATCTTCCCTCTGAAGCCTGGAGGAGCAGGTGGACAGAGGGGTAGCTGTCCAGATGGGTACCAGACTTAGAAGGGGGGCACCCTGTCTCAGTCAAGGAGGGGAGTGGTAAAAATGAGCTGAGCTAGAACTGGGGGCAGCCCTCATCCCTGAGCCCCCAGGAATAATCATGAAGGACCCTCAAGCCAGGCCAACTGTCTCTCTCCTGAGATCTTGGCGGAGGTCAGGAAGCCTGGGCCTTAGCAGTAAGCTCCAGAGGGTCTGTGCCTCCGCTGGTACAAGTGACCCCCAAGGAAAAAAGAGTGTGAAGGCCTCCCTGTCACCAGCTCACTACTGCAGACCCACACCCACTTACGTTCCTGAGCATGGGGAAGGAAAGCAAGACTCAGAGTCCTGGGGACTCCAAGGACCTTGATCCCTGGGCAGAGAGCTGTGCTTCCTGTAGCCGCTTGCATCAGCTGCCCTGAGGTGGCCTGGATTCCTGGGGCTCAAAATCTTTAATTAGCCAAACTCAACACCTGCCGAGGTGTGACTGATGAATTCTCACCAGGTGATGTTTGCGTGGGCGGGCGTTACCTGCTGCACCATCCCTGTGGCTCCTGGCCCCTCCTGGCCCTTATCTCCCAGGAAAGCAAAACAGGTCCCAGGGCAATGGCCTGGGCCGTTGATCTACTGCCCGGGCTCACACTACATCCATGACATGCCATCCTGATGACCTGCCCAAGGCCACTATGATCTCCCCACCCTAGCGCCTGGCCACTCTCTGGGCACCCATGGCCTGCCCTGGGGATGAAGGCTTTGGGGAGGCTCCCCACTCATCCCAAACTTTGACCAAGCCTCATGGGACCCCTAGAGGATAGGGGTACACTGAGGTCCTGAGTTGGGGAGTACGCTGCCCCTAGCCACACAGTGAGGCAGGGCCAAGCCCAGCACCAGAAGGTCTGCTCTGGGCTTTCAACACAGGAGATCAGGCTCTGCTGGGATCCTTTCTCATGCAGGGGCCCTTCCCTGAGTTTACCCTGACTCCCGGATACAAAGGAGCCTGGGAGGCCACAGGCCTGAGGGGTAGGAGCTGTCAAAAATGGGCTGGTAGCTTCAGGGAATGGCTGGGGGCTCCATGCCAGGCCAGTGCTAATGCTCACCCTGGTCCCCAGCCCCCAGCCCTCCTCCCTGCCCTGGACCAAAGTCCATACTCCTGGACCTGGCCTTTACAGCTCTATCAGGTTTGTCTGTTGCCACAGAACCTTCCTTCAGCCCTCACAGTCTGCCTTGTACTGCACCTCAGGGCCTCTGCCTATGCTGTGCTCTCTGCCTGGTGCACTGTTTCCTGTTTGACATCCCAGGGTGCCTACTGGAATTTTAGGACTGGCTTTGTTACCTCCTCCAGGAAGTCTTCCTTGATTCCCCCATCCTCTTTTTTTTTTTTTTTTTTTTTTTTTTTTGAGATGGAGTTTGGCTCTTGTTGGCCAGGCTAGAATGCAATGGCACAATCTCGGCTCACTGCAACCTCCACCTCCCAGGTTCAAGCGATTCTCCTGCCTCAGCCTCCCAAGTAGCTGGGATTACAGGCATGTGCCACCACGCCGGGCTAATTTTGTATTTTTAGTAGAGACGGGGTTTTTCCATGTTGGTCAGGCTGGTCTTGAACTCCTGACCTCAGGTGATCCTGCTCTCCTCGGCCTCCCAAAGTGCTGGGATTACAGGCATGAGCCACTGCGCCCGGCACCCCCATCCTCTTTTTTGAGACACAGCACTGTGTGGCTCACACTGAGTTGCAGCAGGAGCTACAGGGTAGTGATGAGGGTGCTATTTGGGGGGGTTGTCTCTTTCAGACTGGAGGTCACTTGAGGAGAGATATTCTAAATCCTTTCTGGGATCTCGGGCCAGCCCAAGACCCAGCAATGACTGGTCATGATTGAGTAATAGCCACCAGGCCCCAAAGGTCTAGGCCCAGCTCCTGCAGGGGGGATGGGGAACCTGGAACTCAGACCTCAGACACCTCCCACTGCCCATGACACAGACTGTGGTCTCCCTGGAGGCAGTGCCTGGCTGCTACGGAAGAATATTAGGGCAGAGAAGTGTGTTTTGTCCAGGCTGCCAGCTCAGCACACTCTGAGGGCCTGTCCCAGCCTGCCCAGGACAGGGGGCCGAGAGAGGGCACCCCCAACTGAGTGCAGGGCGGACTCTGGAGTAGCTCTGGACGCCAGCACCGGCACCTCCATACCCAGGTGGGACCCTTGGAGGGATGCTGATGGCAAGGCTTAGGGCAGGGGCATGAGGACAGGTGGACCTAGGCAACTCTGGGGTCAGGGGAGAGGGCTCAAGAAGAGATGCTAACATTGTTAGAGTTCTGAGTAGGTGGGGCTGGGAGGAGAGGAGGTAAGATGCTGGCATCAGAAGGAGAGGCAAGTTTGAGGGATGCAAGAGTGCCATGTGTGGGGTCTCCAGGGTCCAGGTGCCAGAATCTGAACTCCGGCCTGGGGCTGCCTGGGGCAGTACAGGGAGGGAGTCCTCTGACCAGAGAGGCCAGAGGCTGCTGTGACCTCTGCAGCCTCCGGGGGCACCAGGCCTGAGGCCTGAGCCCAGCCTCTCCTGTTCACCCCTAGCCCTGAGTGCTACATTTGAGTCCCCCAGTGCTCCAGATTCAAGGGCAGACCTGAGACCATCAGGGGCTGGAGTGGGGATGGGGGGTTCAGGGCAGAATTCAGGGTTCCCCAGCAAAGAGGGTGCTGTGGCTTTAGGACCAGGCTCTGGCTGTCCTGCCTGGCAGTACTGTCCCACTCACTGGTCTCCACTCTGGCCTCAGCTCTCCTGCTGGCCAGGCTGGCCTTCAGGGTGTCCTTACAGAACCTGGGGGCACTATGCCCAGTCACCTCTGGGTATGAAGCAGGCAATTCCTGGATCCAGTGATGGGAGAGGGGCCAGTGAGTTGTCTGGGCAGTGAGCAGGGATGGTGGGGAAAGGGGAGCTGGTTCCTTTGAGGCCTAACGGGGGTTCCCTGCCTGGCAGCAGAGGAGAGGCTTGGAAGAAAACATGGCCCTGAGGCCAGGACTGTGTGGAAGGTGAGGCATGTGTGGCACAGAGAACCGGCCCTGGAGCACCCTTTTCCTGGAAGGCCCCCTGAGGGCCCTTTGCTGCAGCCAGGCGGGAAGGGCCCAGGTGTCCAGCTACCCAGCACCGCCTCAGGCATCCTGGCTCCGGGGAGGGGGGACAGCCTCTGCGCCTGCCGTTCCCAGCGCCAGCTCTCAGCCCACAGAGGGCTCTTTGTTCTGGCTGCCAGCAGTGCCCGCCGGGCGGCTGGGAACAGGGCCCACAGCCCTCACCCTCTCCTGAGGCCTCCAGCCGTCGGGCAGTGCCATTCTAGATTGGACAGGAGGCCCCTGGACACAGGGTCAGTGCAGGAAACCATCTCCCAGTACTGATGTCAAGGAGGGGAAGTCTATCCCGGGTACATACCCAGAGTGAAGTCTGGGGACCTGGGACTGAGCATCTGGGGATGCTGGTGCCACTGGGCTCTGAACTTGGGTCATCCAGATGATCCTTACTTCACAGATGGGGAAACCGAGACCCCAAAGGCTTGCCTGGATGGGTGTGCGTGTAAGAAATGCATTATGTGCTGGCTAGGGTGTCCCATCAGAACATGCTGGGAACTCAGGTGTCCGAGCTGGATCCCCCCAACGGCAGATCCCAGGGAGGCAGCAGGCAGAGCTGCATGTGCGGGTATGTCCCGAGTGGCCATCTGGGAGGTGTGCTATGGCTGCAGGCCTCGGGTAGGAGGCTGGGCCATAGGCCCAAGTAATGGGGCTAACCAGAGGGACCGGCTGCTCTGCAGACATCTGACTGTTGGTGTGAGACCGGTGCTCCTGGTGGTGTGCCCTGAGCCATGGAGGTGCCTTTGCAGACAGAGATGGTGGAGCTGGTGCCCAATGGCAAACACTCAGAGGGGCTGCTCCCAGTCATCACCCCTATGGCAGGCAACCAGAGGTGAGTACAAGAGGGACCCAGTGCTGGCTCAAGACAGGGCAGGGCAGGGATACAGTGCAAAGGGCTGGAGCTGAGCCACCCACCCTGACCTGTGCCTACAGGGTCGAGGACCCCACAAGGAGCTGTATTGAGGGCAAGAGCTTCCTACAGAAAAGTCCCAGCAAGGAGCCACACTTCACCGACGTGAGCGGGGCAGCAACGGGTTGTTGGGGGACACTGTGGGGAACTTGGATGCAGTAATGAGGTGGTCTCTGGCAGCAGTGGGAGGCTGAGGGACAGTCAGGGGGCATGCCGTGATGCCCCTGTCCCTTGCTGACTCCTCCCACCCTTCCCCATCCCATTCTGGTGCCTGCAGTTCGAGGGGAAGACATCATTTGGGATGTCAGTGTTCAACCTCAGCAACGCCATCATGGGCAGCGGCATCCTCGGACTCGCCTATGCCATGGCCAATACGGGCATTATCCTTTTCCTGTGAGTGCCCTCAGAGAACCTTCTAAAGATAGGGGCCCTAAGCAAGTCACCAATCATGACCTCCCAGGACCTGCCAGTTCCCTGTCCTAGCACCCAGGCTGCAGTGGGTGGGCACTTCTTACACTAACAAACCATGCCTGAAAAAAACATCCACAGCCAAACAAATATACCTCACTGCTCAGTAAACTGACTGAGGTCACAACACAGGCCAGTCTTACAGGCCAGAGACTGTCCTTCTGCCACCTTACACATGATGGCCAAGCCCCATGGCCAGGCTTTGTGTGGGCACACGTGTCCTTTGCCTGGGGGCTCTGCCCTGAAGCCAGAATGGAACACATGTTTGTTTCAAGGACTCGAGAGGAGGAGGTGCTCAGAGGGCAGTCATAGGGACACTCTTGACTCAGAGGGCCCCTTCTGGTGTGTGTCCCACCCTGGATCAAACGGGGTGGTGTTCATCACCCCTGGGACCTGCTGAGCTTGCATCCATACCTGTTGGAAGTCCAGACACCCAGGTCACAGACCCTTCACCCCCAGGCCTCTCAGAGCCCCTCACCCTCTGCCAGCTAGGGTAGCCCCCAGTGGCCTTTTTCTTCCATCTTCCCATGTGTCCCCAGGTTCCTGTTGACGGCTGTCGCCTTGCTCTCCAGCTACTCCATCCACCTGCTACTCAAGTCCTCAGGGGTCGTGGGTGAGCTTCACACCAGCCTGGAATGGGCGGGAGCTGGTGGGTAAACTGGGGCCAGTTCCTGACTTCTTGACCCTGCTGCCGCAGGCATCCGTGCCTATGAGCAGCTGGGCTACCGTGCCTTTGGGACCCCAGGAAAGCTGGCAGCAGCCCTGGCCATCACGCTCCAGAACATCGGAGGTGAGAGCAGTGGGCAGGGGCAGGCAGTAGGCAAGCAGACGGCCCCGAAAGCTGGCCGGTTGGGCTGACCCCAGCGCCTGCTCACCCCTGTCCCCACAGCCATGTCCAGCTACCTGTACATCATCAAGTCTGAGCTGCCACTTGTCATACAGACCTTCCTGAACCTGGAGGAGAAAACCTCGTGAGCCCTGGAGTGGGGAGGGGAGGAGAGGGGTGCTGTACAATGAGGAGGGGTGGGGTAGGGGGCTGGGTGAGGGTGGGGGTGCCAGGCTGGGCTAGTGGGAGAGACAAGACAAAGCAGACAAGAAGCTGGTGGAGGTGGGAGAGTTGCCAGCAGAGCCAGCATTCAGTTCACACTCACTTGGGAAGCACCTAGGGGACCCCCCTCCAGAAGGGGCATGTGGGGCTAGGGGCAGGGTGCAGCTGAGAAAGCTGGGCCCCTCCTCACCCCGAACCCAGCCTGTGAGCATGGGAGGCTCAAGCTTAGCTCTAAGCACCTGCTATTCCTGACCATGGGGTTGCCCCCCCACCAAGAGATTAAGCCCAGGTGTCCCAGTTGCCTATCACTTTAGCCAGCATTGACTGGACTTCAAACGTGTTTTGTGGGACAGAGGGGACACAGTCAGGCCCTGCTCTTGTCAGCCCAGCCGAGCAAGCAGAGGGGCTGGGAGGTTGAGAGTAGCTCCGGCAAGAGGGAGAGCCGGAATTCTGCCCCTAGGGCCCTGGGCCTTTCCCAAGGAGTTGACCTCCAGGCTTGCCTTTGAGGACGGTCCTAGCCCTTATCCCCTTGTTTCCCCATGCCCCATATCCATTCCTGGTGGGTTAGAGGAGGGAGCAGGATGAGGCAATGCCAAGATGCCAGAAGGAACCGCAAGGAGTACAGGTTATTGCAAGTGCCTGAAACCCCCATGGAAAACACCACCTTCCTCTAGAACCAGGTCCCTTCCTCCCACCCACCTCCATCCAAAGGCTGGACCCAGACCTGTGTGTCCTGAGAAAAGCAACAGCAGTGCCTATAATAGAGAGGGTCCTGAGCATGAGCTGTGTGCCAGGCTGGAACCTTAGTTCTCACGTCACCCTGAAGGAGAGTACTGAGGACACGCCCTTTTTTTTCTTCTTTTTTTTTTTTTTTTTTTTTTTTTTTTTTTTGAGACGGAGTCTTGCTTTGTTGCCCAGGCTGGAGTACAGTGGCGCAATCTCGGCTCACTGCAACCTCTGCCTCCTGGGTTCATGCGATTCTCCTGCCTCAGCCTCCTGAGTAGCTGGGATTATAGGCTTGTGCCACCATGCCCGGCTAATTTTTTTTGTATTTTTAGTAGAGACAGGATTTCACCATGTTGGTCAGGCTGGTCTCAAACTCCTGACCTGATGATCCACCCACCTTGGCCTCCCAAAGTGCTGGGATTACAGGCGTGAGGAAGCACGCCCGGCCGGGCACGCCCATTTTGCAGATGGGGAAAGTGAGACTCAGAGCTGTGGACAAACATTCTTCAGATGTCACTCACTGGCACCACTGGTAACTCCAGCAGAGGGAGGCAGGGGCCCCATCCCAGGCTGAATGGATTCTGACCCTGGCTCCCGATTCCTGTCCCTGCAGGGACTGGTACATGAATGGGAACTACCTGGTGATCCTTGTTTCTGTCATCATCATTCTGCCCCTGGCACTGATGCGGCAGCTTGGTGAGTGTGGAAGGGTCAGAGCCTTGGAAGGGATGTCGGAGGCGTATACCATGGGAGGGGCCCCAGGTCTCAGAGTGCCCCCTCCACTTTGCAGGCTACCTGGGCTACTCCAGCGGCTTCTCTCTTAGCTGCATGATGTTCTTCCTAATTGCAGTGAGTCATCTTCCATGTTGGCCGAGAAAGCGGGCAGCGGGTCTCCCGGGGGAGTTCCCTGTCATCAGGAGGGGGCACGTGTCTCTGGGAAGCCTGGGCCAGAAGGCAGCTCTGCCAGTCCTGATCTAGATGTGGCTTCATGGTAACTTCCCAGGCAGCTCAGCCTGGCTCTGACACCCTCATCTCTCCCCACTCCAGGTCATCTACAAAAAGTTCCATGTGCCCTGCCCACTGCCCCCCAACTTCAACAACACCACAGGCAACTTCAGCCACATGGAGGTCGTGAAGGAGAAGGTGCAGCTGCAGATCGAGCCTGAGGCTGCAGCCTTTTGCACTCCCAGTTACTTCACGCTCAACTCACAGGTTCTGACAGGTCAGGGTGGGGCGGGGGCCCAGTGAGAGTGGGGGACTGCCTTGACAGCCTCATGCTTCCCCAGACAGCATACACCATCCCCATCATGGCCTTCGCCTTCGTCTGCCACCCCGAGGTGCTGCCCATCTATACCGAGCTCAAGGAGTAGGTATCTGTGGCTGGCAGCGGTGGGGGGGCTGCCCTGAGCTGGTTTGGGGAGAATGGATGTGGTCCTGAATGTGGAGAGGGGAGTGACAGGAGCCAAGTCACTTTATCTAAGATCTCCGGGGCAGCCATGAGAGGCGATTATGAGCAAGAAGGAGACTCCCTCAGCTGCTGAATGGTGAAAGTGTGGTGCCAGAGAGGGCTTGGGGCACATGGGGGTCTCCCAATGTTACCCAGCTTGTCACCAACACCCGTCCCCCACTTCCCCACAGCCCCTCCAAGAAGAAGATGCAGCACATCTCCAACCTGTCCATCACCGTCATGTACATCATGTACTTCCTGGCTGCCCTCTTTGGCTACCTCACCTTCTATGGTATGGTGGCACTGGTGGGCAGAGGCCTAGGCCAGGCTGGGGGGAAGGGACTGGTTGTGGCCATGGTGCCCTCCATACCGAGGCATGTGGTGCCTGGCTGTTCCTTGCTGCTGTGGAGGTGAGTCTGCATGCCAATCCCCACAGTGTTGGGGTCCCCCAGGCAGCTCAGATCCCACCTCCTTCCCGGGGCCACCTGCTGACCACCCTCCCTGCCTGCCACAGATGGGGTGGAGTCAGAGCTGCTGCACACCTACAGCAAAGTGGACCCATTTGACGTGCTGATCCTGTGTGTGCGTGTAGCCGTGCTGACAGCAGTCACGCTCACAGTGCCCATCGTTCTGTTCCCGGTGAGCTGGTGGGCAGGTGGCCAGACCAGTGGCGGGAGGGGCTGATGGGGCCAACAGGCTGATTATTCTTCCCACCTGTCCCCCAGGTGCGCCGCGCCATCCAGCAGATGCTGTTTCCGAACCAGGAGTTCAGCTGGCTGCGGCATGTGCTTATTGCTGTTGGCCTGCTCACTTGTATCAACCTGCTGGTCATCTTTGCCCCCAACATCCTGGGCATCTTTGGGGTCATCGGTGAGGGTCTGGCCCTGCTGTGGAAGCAGGGTATTGCCCCAGAGGAATTCACCTCTGCAAATCCTGGCAGATTCCTGAGCTTACACCCTACATTAAGTGGAGTGGCCATGTGCACAGTTTGGCCTCCCATCTGAGCTTTTGTCCATAGGCTATTCTAATCCCTTTTCGGGGCTCAGAGTCACTGAGTCAGTCCCCCATGCTGGAGGACAGGGGTGGACCCCAGGGATCAGAGGCCTCCTCAAAGGATCTCACTGGGTCTTGTCCACATTTCACATGTGAGGAAACTAAAGTTCAGAGTGATTAAAGGAGCAGCGGGGCCACACAGCTGGTGAATAGGAGCCTTGGGCTTGATTCAGCCCCAGGATCACTGCACTCCAAGTTTGGCGCTCCATCCACTGCCACATTCCAGATGGGGCTCTCAGCTGGTAGAGCAGACAATTCTGAAATATCTTTGGGGTGACCCAACTCAGAGGACTAATAAACTCTGCCAGGACTGACAGACAGACCTGGGGGCTGAGTATCATGGATATCATTGACAGCACTCTTCGTTCTCTATGTCCGAAATCTAACTCGAAATGAATTAAGCAGAAAGGAATTCACTGGCTCAAATAACAGAGAAGCCTTCAAGTATAGCTGTAGCCTGGAGCCCAATACCCTTAAGCCCTCATCTCTCTCCATCTCTTGACTTGCCTTTCCTCATTGCTAGCTTCATTGGCTGACATTCTCCTGATACCGACATCACCAGCCTTCTATCCTCACGGATAGAGAACAAGGGGGAGAGGCTGATGGGCTAGAATCAGGCAGCACTCTCCAGTGGTCTCAACGTGAAACTCCCTCAATAAGGAGTGTTTGATCTCATTGAAAAGTCCACCCCCGAATCTTAGTCAGTAGGAGGATATGAGCCAGCAGTGGCCATGTCTTGTTCTTTGCAGGTGCCACATCTGCCCCATGCCTCATCTTCATCTTCCCTGCCATCTTCTACTTCCGAATCATGCCCACGGAGAAGGAGCCTGCGAGATCCACCCCCAAAATCCTGGTGCGAGGGGCCTGGAGGCCGGTGGGCTGGTATGGGGCTAAGGGAACTGCCCTGACCTTGGACCTGACCCTGACTTCTGATCTCACAGGCCCTATGTTTTGCTGTGCTTGGCTTCTTGCTGATGACCATGAGCTTGAGCTTCATCATCATTGACTGGGCCTCAGGGACCAGCCGGCACGGAGGAAACCACTAGGGTGACCCTCATGCTGTTCTGTCTACTCACCCTAGCAGCCCTGCCCAGACTCTTCAGCCCCTGCTCCCATCCAGTGGCCAGTCGGGGGAGGAGAAAGACGCGATTAACACTGTGGCATTCAGCCAGGCCCCATGTCCTCTCTGTGGAAGGTTTTTGTTCAAGAGCCAGGACCAAGGCCCTTGGGCCACTATCCTGCTAGGCTCCAGAGCAGCAGGGGCTTCTTGAACTGGGAGCAGGGTGGGGCTGTCGCCTTAGATCCCACCCAAGCCCCTCATTCCCTCCTTGCACAGATGCGTACACTAGGGCCCAGCAGCTGCCTCCTGAGGAGATACAGCCTGTAGAAACATACAGAGCTGGAATCGGCCTAGAGCCATTCCCCTACCCTGCTGCTAGGCCACGGTCTGTGCCCTGGGGCCTCATCTCCCCAGCCCACTTGTTTTTCCCCCTTTTATTCCCTAGGCCCTTTTCAGACACTTGGGCCCTTGGATACTCTTCTCCCACCCCCCTTCACAGGATGGCACCCTCCCATACCCCATAGCTGGGACCAGCAGGTTCTGCTGAGGGTAGGGCTGGTGTAGCTATCCCCAAGAGACCCCTGCCCTGTCCCTTCACCAGTCCTGGGGAGGCTGGGACTCCCCCTGCCACAAGCCTGGGCCACAGCTCACATTCCACTGCTGGGAGAAGAGACAGGCCGAGGCCCAGAGTGGCCTGCCCCCGGGAGCCAAAGACCCCAGTGGCCACACTGGGACAGGGTGGGGAGGCTGGCAGCCCTCTTTTATAAATATTATACATAAGACCAGCTGTGTTTTCTATTCTTGGTCTCCATGGTCCCTGGATTCCTGGAAAGTGAGGTAGGGGCCAGAACATGGATGGTGATGGCGGGCTCCCGTCTCTTTGTCCGGGATGAGGGTGGGGACAGGGCAAGTCCCCCCCCCCCCCCCCCCTGCCTCCCAAACTAACCAGTGGCACACTCAGACCCAGCTCTGGGCCTGGGCCAGGCTCAGCACAGACCTGCTTTCTCACGGGGTGAGGTGGGGAGGAATTAATGAGGCCCCAGGAAGTGGGACAGAGAGAGGCCTCCGGAAGGAGGCAACGTGAGGTGCATCCCCAGCAGCTTCAGGGAGGGTCTGAGCTGGGGGCAGCTGAGCCCTGAGGGAGCCCCAGGAAGGGCCCCCTTCCCTCCCCTAGCTCCCAGGCTGCCATGTCAACTCTCTGTCAATGCCCTGAGTCTTGGGGACAAAAGTCCAGGAATCCTGTGCCCTGTTGGGCTGATCTTTTTATTAACAGTAAAATCCACTGTGAATAAAGTAGGTTAGTAGTCCCTGTGTGGGGGGACCCAAATGGCAAAGGGAGGCAGGAGTCCAAGGTAGGGCAGGGGCTGCAAGGAAGCAGGACAGCCCCAGGTGTCCTGGCCCCGGTGGGACTGGGAAGCTGCCCACTGCCTTGAGCAGGTCTGAACCAGCTGAGACCCAGTGGGATAGAGCTGCCCAGGCCTTGGCACCAAACCCTCATTAAGAGAGACCCTGCACCAGGCTAGGCCGCCGGGGAAAGGGCAGCAGGAAAGATCCAGTTTGAATTTGCAAGGCAGCTGCCAGCTCGGGAAAATCCTGAAGAAAGAACTTCCTCAAGCCGATGGCTGCTAGGCCCACAGCAGTGCCAGCTCAGCAGAGGGGAGCTTCCTGAGTCCTGTTCCCATCAGGCCCAGGCATCTGACTTCAAGCTGGGGACTCACCCAGCAGCCCTGTGGCCCCAGGAAAGAGCTGGACACTGGCCTAGAGGTGGATGCAGCACAGGGTGTTCTGATGAGAGGGGCTGCCCTCTAGAGGTCTCGATGGGGCCATAACCCTGCCTGGAACCCTCGGTTCCTGGGCAGTGGGGGGCAATGAAGGGCAAGTCCATCCCGCAGGCAGACCTGGGGGTCTTTTCTTGTACTCCCTCCATCCAAAGAAGGCTGCAGGTCAGAGCAGCAGCAGGACACCACGTCTGGCTCAGGCCCCGCAGACCAGGGGAATGTGCTAAAGGCAGCACCCTCTGCGCACACACATACACACAACTGGTGTGGGGAAGGACCCTGGGCCCTGGCCCAAGAGACCATATCTGCTTGCCCAGTCAGGCCTCCTCCAGCCTCACCATGGGCAGCAGGCTCCAGCAAGGAGGAGGCAGGTAACGTGGCCACTACACCAGATTCAAGAGCCAAGTGTCCACATGACCGTTTGAAAATGAGTATCGCCAGGCGTGGTGGTTCACGACTGTAATCCCAGCACTTTGGGAGGCCGAGACGGGTGGATCACGAAGTCAGGAAATCAAGACCATCCTGGCTAACACGGTGAAACCCCGTCTCTATTAAAAATACAAAAAATTAGCTGGGCGTGGTGGCGGTCCCAGCTACACGGAAGGCTGAGGCAGGAGAATGGCGTGAACCCGGGAGTCGGAACTTGCAGTGAGTTGAGATAGCGCCACTGCACTCCAGCCTGGGTGACAGAGCAAGACTCCGTCTCAAAAAAAAAAAAAAAAAAAAAAAATTAAAAGATTTAAAAAAAAAAAGAAAATGAGTATCCGTTGTCCCTGGCTGTCAAATTCCAGACACTTGGCCTCCATGGTCTGCAGGCCCTCAGGCATCATTAAGCATTTGTGTATGCGTTGAAAATTTTCCCAGGTTTTTTCCTTTGTTATCCTTTTAAAAAATTGTTCTGGGGCCAGGCGTGGTGGCTCACACCTGTAATCCCAGCACTTTGGGAAACCGAGGTGGGCAGATTACTTGAACTCAAGATTTCAAGACCAACCTGGGCAACATGGCGAAACCTCGTCTCTAAAAAAAAAAAAAAAAAAAAATTGAAAAATTAGCAGGGTGTGGTGGCTCACGCCTGTAAGTCCCAGCTCTTTAGGAGGTGGAGGCAGGAGGATCACTTGTGTCCAGGTGACTGAGGCTGCAGTGAGTTGTGATTGTGCCACTGCACTCCAGCCTGGGCAACACAGCAAGACTCTGTCTCAAAAAATAAATAAATAAATAAACAGATAAATAAATAGTTCTAGGCCGGGTGCGGTGGCTCACACCTATAATCCCAGCACTTTGGGAGGCCGAGGTAGGCGGATCACCTGAGGTCAGGAGTTCGAGACCAGCCTGACCAACATGGAGAAACCCCATCTCTACTAAAAATACAAAAAATTAGCCGGGCGTGGTGGTGGGCGCCTGTAATCCCAGCTACTCGGGAGGCTGAGGCAGGAGAATCGCTTGAACCCGGGAAGTGGAGGTTACAGTGAGCCAAGATCAGGCTGTTGCACTCCAGCCTGGGCAACAAGAGCCAAACTCTGTCTCAAAAAATAATAAATAAATAAATAAATAAATAGTTCTGGAAAAATTGTTCTGTTTGGAGTATTGACAAGTTAGAGCAGCCTGAAGGTCCAGTACAAAGGTCTTCTATATTTCTTTTCACTGTTTTTCTTATGACTGCTTATTATAGAAAAATAAGAGCAGGAAAGGGGGCAAAAGCATGGGTCTCAGTCTCCCTGCCCAGCAGCTGCCCTTGCCCACACCCTTCTCACCTGTGTGTACAAGCACACGTTTGTGTCTCGACTGACTCATTCATTCATTCAACAAGCGTTTATTGACAGTTCCCACATGCCAGGCACTCATCTAGCACCTGCAAATAAAGCAGTGAACAAAGTAAAGCCCCTGGCCTTCCCTGAACTTACAGTCCAGGCTGGGGATTAGATCCAAAAAAGAAACATTAAACCTAACCACTAAATTCTATCATGTGGTTAGAAGATGCTCAGTACTACAGGGAGTAAAAACAACAAGGTAAGAAAAATGTGGGGCGGGGGACAGGGGGTCAGAGTGGGCCTGAGAAAGGAACTTTTTTTTTTTTTTTAAAGACACAGTCTAGCTCTGTGGTCCAGGCTGAAATGCAAATGGCATGATCATAGCTCACTGCTGCCTTGAATTTCTAGACTCAAGGGACCCTCCTGCCTCAGCCTCCTGAGTAGCTGGGGACTATAAGCACATGTCGCCACTGCCTACTTATTTGTATTTTATTTTTTGTAGAGACAGGGTCTCACTATGTTTCCCAGGCTGGTTTCAAAGTCCTGATCTCAAGTAATTCTCCCATTTTGGCCTCCCAAAGTGCTGGGATTACAGGTGTGAGCCACCATGCCAGGCATAAGTCTTAGTTTTTAATAGATTATTCCAGCTGCTGCATTAAGACTAGGCTCTGGGTGGGGAATGGGGGGCAAGGGTGACACTGACACAAGGGTTCCTGTAGTTACTCCAAATAGTCATGTTGCGTGGCTTAGCCCAGGTGATGGTAGATGCGGGATGAGGCACTAGGATTGTCCTGAAGGTAGAGGTGGCAGGGTTCCTGGATGATTCGAGTATGGGAGGAGAGGCAGAAATAAGTCAAGGGTGACTCCAAGGTTGTCTAGGGATAGAGGTGCCACTGCAGGAGGCTGGAAGAGGAACAGGCTTGGGAAGGAGATCAGTTTTGTCCATGAAGAGTTCAAAACATTGATTGGGCCGGGCGCGGTGGCTCAAGTCTGTAATCCCAGCACTTTGGGAGGCCAAGGTGAGCAGATCACAAGGCCAGGAGATCGAGACCATCCTGGCTAATACGGTGAAACCCCGTCTCTACTAAAAAATACAAAAAATTAGCCGGGCGCGGTGGCGGGCGCCTGTAGTCCCAGCTACTCAGGAGGCTGAGGCAGGAGAATGGCGGGAACCCGGGAGGCGGAGCTTGCAGTGAGCCGAGATCGCGCCACTGCACTCCAGCCTGGGCAACAGCGTGAGACTCCGTCTCAAAAAAAAAAAAAAGGCCGGGCGCGGTGGCTCAAGCCTGTAATCCCAGCACTTTGGGAGGCCGAGGCGGGTGGATCACGAGGTCAGGAGATCGAGACTATCCTGGCTAACATGGTGAAACCCCGTCTCTACTAAAAATACAAAAAACTAGCCGGGCGTGGTGGCGGGCGCCTGTAGTCTCAGCTACTTGGGAGGCTGAGGCGGGAGAATGGCGTGAACCCGGGAGGCGGAGCTTGCAGTGAGCCGAGATCACGCCACTGCACTCCAGCCTGGGAGACACAGCGAGACTCCGTCTCAAAAAAAAAAAAAAAAAAAAAAAAGCCATGGGATGGAAAGAGGCCAAGTTTAGACAGAGGAGGGCAGCAGTAAGCATTGAGCCCTGGAAGATGAGGGAGAACCAGCAAAGGAGCTGGTCAGGAGTAGCCAGGAGGTGAGAGGAAAACTGGGAGAGCATGGGCACCTGGAGCCAGGTAACTGTCAGATGCTGCAAAGGAGGTAAGGGTACAGGACGGACCACTGAATTCAGACACCTGTGGATCCCTAAGGACCCTGACCAGGGCACTTTTGTGAGGGAGGGACAGGCCTGTCTGGAGTGTGCAGAGAAGAAAGTGAGGTAGAACTGGAAAGAGCCAGTGTAAACAACTTGTGTGAAGTGAGAGGGGCAGAGCCAACAGTGGCTCTTAAGAAAGACTGAAAAGTTGGCCGGGAGCGGTGGCTCACACCTGTAATGCCAGCACTTTGGGAGGCCGAGGTGGGCGGATCACAAAGTCAGGAGTTTGAGATCAGCCTGGCCAACATGGTGAAACCCCATCTCTACTAAAAATACAAAAATTAGCCAGGTGTGATGGCGCACACCTGTAATCCCAGCTACTCGGGAAGCTGAGGCAGGAGAATTGCTTAAACCTGGAAGGCAGAGGTTGCAGTGGACTGAGATCACACCACTGCAGTCCAGCCTGGGCAACAGAGTGAGGCTCTGGGG